AAGCGGCTCCTATTCTTGGGCCCATATTCTTTTTCACCATAATGGTCTTTGGCACATTCATTTTGATGAATATGTTTTTGACCATCGTATTAGACGTGTTCTCCGAAGTGAAAGGGTCCATCGACGATCAAGAAAACGAGTACGAGATTGTCGACTTTATGATCCGGCGCTTTAGGAAGTTCACCGGCATGCAGCCAAACAAGGTTATGATTGACTCCGAGGAGCCGATGGAGAAGAAAGACATCGAGGAAGAAACTAATAAAGACCTACTGGCCCTGAATAACAAGAAAAAGCTAAGAGCTAAGAGAAAGTCTAAGCCAATGGATCTGGTGGCGCAACGCTTCACAAGACTGGAGACATCGCTGAGTGGTTTTTATTGTGAGGAGTGGGCTGAGGAGCGCCTGCTGGATCACATAGTGGGGAGGAGGTGGGGAGTCAATGCTGAGGCTGCTTACGCTCAGGCAGATGCTGAGTTACACGAGGAGCAACAGATGGAACAGCTGCGCCAGGATATGTACGCTGCAGCTGAACGGTTTGACGCTGGTGAAGGAGCAATTAATTTGAACTTCGAGGATGATATTTTTGAACCTTGGAATTCGACTGATGCTTAAAAATTCAGTGCTAATTGAATTCGTGTTGAAATTGAAACAGCATTTCTTTACTTTTCTAACTTTGATGAGGCTGGACTAATTATGGGCTGTAGCTATGACGCATCGAAAAACTTAGCGTGTATTTACACAGCCTTTGCGGTTATGTATGGGAACTACGAGAAGAATCAGCTTTCTTTTCGTAACAACACGGCAATTTATCATCCTGTTAATAATGAACTATTACAAAAGTATAATCGTACATAAAATATCATTATTCATCTCATAAGTGTGGCGGTCTAGCCAGGGAAAATATCCATTAAATATTTATTCATCCAGCCACTTTTTAAGCTTAAGTTTTGCATAATTTCAAAAATCATTTTTAAAGGTATTTTCTGAAAATTCAACTTAAGCTTGTTTTCGATGCTGGATGATATTTGATTTGTTCTAAGTCTCTGATAAACTGTAGGGTCTTCATATGTGTGTGCATGTTTTGATCAAATTCAATACCATGAATATAGTGATAATGTGGATGGATTATTTATGTTATTATCAAGACTGACGAAGTTGCTATTTACAATATAGCAAGAACATAGAATACAGAGAGTCTGATTTGAAGTAACTTGACATTTACGGGCTTTTTTCGAATTTCAGTGGAATTTGTAAAAGATACTGGGCTTGTAAATAAAATTTGCAGGATGTAATGCTATTTTCATTCTTCTTACTGATTATTTGGCTTAGTTTTTATAATTGTTTTCGTTTGATACCTCTCATTAGCTTATGAAAAGATTAGTGGTTTGCAGTTTGATTGCACTCCCGACTCATTGTAGCACCGCTGGCCCAGGATTCTCAGCGAGCTTTTGCAGCAGCACTTTTCATTCCGAGTAGCATCATTAATTTCATATAAGGAAAATTTAAAATATCGTTATATGATATATATATATAATTTATATCTATCTCGTCCAAATTTTTGTGCAAGTTTTCTCTCCACTGAACGGTTTGATAATCGTAACAGCTGACGTTTTCGTGCACACTGTTTAAACAGCAGACTTAAACTTCTTTGACGCTGAAAAACACACGTGGCTTTCACTTGCCATCAAAAATTTCACAATTATTCCGTGAGCACACGTTGAATAGGAGATGGTTAATAGGCAAAATGCTTGGTAATAAGGGTGGAACTCAGAGGAAATTGTGAACTCAAAAAAAACTGCTATTAATATATGTAATCAAGGAGCACGGAGAAGTACGTGGGAATTGCTTTTCTATTTAGGATTTTTTAAACCAAAACTGGAACAGAGAGGCATCACCGAGCTAAGTGATTCTCGAAGCGTGTACACTTTACTAAAATGAACGTTCATGTACAAAAAGAATGAACGTTCATGTACAAATCGTATGAACGTTCATCTACTAATTGACTGAGTGAGAGAGCAGGACACGACTTGTTTAACCGGGAGCCGGTCATTTTATGAACTCGTGATAAACTCATGCTAAGTGAATTAGTGCTAAGTACTACTTATAAAAAATGTCCATAACTGCAATGATCACCCTCATCTTCATTCATTAATCTGAAGTTCAAATACTCATGTATCCACCACGACCAGTAAATCGTTCAATCTAGTTCCCAGGCTCTCGCTTTTCTTCTCTGTCCTTGAGACCAGATCTTTCGCCGAACGCTTCCGTTGCTGTAATCTGTTTTCAATAAATCACACGCAGTTAACAAATACTGGGTTCTTGGCGATAAATATTCGAGTCCAAAACGTTAAAACTCTGAAGAAAATGAGAAAATCAGGCGCTGAAAATTATAAAGAATGTTTTTAAACACCTCATTCTGGTTTCATTCTGATAAATTCCAACATCGCACATAACATCAAAATGGCGTCGGACGCCTCTCATGGAAGAGAGCTTTGATTCCCTTCTTGATTTGTTCAACAACATTAGTTAGTCGGTCTTAAAATGATTGTCGTGGGTCGACGGATAGATTCATCGCCCTGTGGTTGCCCGGAAAAGCAACAGCACCAAGAGAGCCACTTAATGAGAATCCCTCCAATGTTACCAATGAGAACAGCGGCGAAAGCGGAAGTATTTATCCACTTATTTTCATCGTGCAAGAAGAAACACACGCTAATCATAACAATGTTTTCAGCTGTGAAAAGAGCGTGCCAGAAAATTGTTGATAACGTTTGAAGTGCAGCACCAAACGGTGCAGTACCTCGCAGCTTTTTTAAATAGTACGAGCTGTAAACGAAAAGATAAAATGGGGAATAAGCGAAAATAAACACAAACATATCTTGTTTCCGATTTGATCGCCATAGCAAGAATCCAGTGGCCACCATTACGAGACAATGAACTCCGATTACGTAAGGTAACCGCCATGGGAAATATAGAGTAAAAAAGACAATCGCCAGCGTGCGAGCAGCAATCATTCCGGCGTTGCCAAGGAAGATGATAACATTGTGAAGAAATGTCAAGTTGTATTTTTCAAATTCTCGGAGAACTTCCATTGAAGTAGACATCCATACGAGAGCCAAAAAGGAAACCGGTGCCGAAATCATTTGAATCAGTTCAATTTTGGCTTCCTCTCTTTGCATCACCATCACGTAGACTTGTATCATCAGTTGCGGGGCGGATTCCAAAAGGCCTTCCACCATTTTCAAGTTCAGCGTGTGAACGTAAAGATAGTAGAGACGATCCTTTTCAATCCGCAAACCATCGGGTGAGTTCCAAAGCTCTTTGAAGCGACAAGCGCAAAAGATAAACAACTGAACGCTATGCAGAGGAGGCCCAACGCACAAACAAGCTAGAGCAACATTAATCGTAGTCGAACGGAATATTACATCGGGGTTACCAGTTTCGTCATCAGCATCATCTTTTGTCCAAGTACGACTTGTGCTCGCAATTACCGACCAAATGCACAGCACTATAAGCGTCAAGAGCGTGACGCCGAGACTCACTGCAAACCATTGTTGATCGTCGTTTGCTCTGTAAGTCAGACAGGTCATGATGTCTGTAGAGGTATCGGCTATTGTCAAAATAGCTTGGAAGAGGAATAAGAATGTGTGGAACCACTTTAAACGCACCTCTGCCATTGCACAAGTAGTTAAGTTAACAACCGCGTGTAAAACTGCGATTACAGGTATACGAAGTTGATCAAGGTTAAAACAAACAATTAATATCCTACAGACAAAGAAATGACCTCTAATTGAAGTGGTATCGCATGAACGATTAATATTCAGAAACTGCCGGAAATATGGAATAATAGAGCAATGGAGCAATGGATTCACAGAGTCCGGAGTCACAAACGGATTAACTGGTTAGTACATATTTTCTGTCAATGAAACAGTCAGTATAGCGCGGTACCCTGATCCCTTTTCAAATTTACAGAAATACAGAGATCAATTCGTATGATAGCTGAAAGGAATGAAGCAGACTTCCTGTCAAAGTCTAACGAGTATCAAGATTTCATCTGCATCATCATAACTTATCTTAACGGATATGGATATGATGCGTGTTTATAAAATATTATATCTAAAGATTAATTTATTTACAAAGGAATTTTAAGATTTTTCAGTGTTAATACTGGGTCTGAAACTTTTCTTTCGGAGAAGATTGTAACCGGTTTCCTAAGGTTTTGATACTATATAATGATGTAAAGGACGATTCTCTTCTTTAATTTCCATACAAATTTTTCTTTATCAGCCTTTGCTGAAACATCTCGAACTGTCAGTTTAATCGAAATATAATTTTTTTCCTCACTTTTTCAAGGGAAGGGGGAAGCGTAAGGTTTACTTTATTTTTAAATTTGTAATGAATATCTGGGTAGATATCGGGTGTCATAGATACCAAGTTTTCCGTATCCATGCAGTCGTTTCGTACCCACAGACGTTTTGTACTCAGCGCCTGACCCAGCAATCGGTGAGATCTAACGAACCTCACATGCCGGTTTTTTATATGCAGCATCCGATTACATGCGGCCCATGTGTAACCTTAGATGACCGATATACAGATTCATGAGTGAAAATATCGATAGCGTAAGTAACTTTGGATACGTTTGTAAATGAATTACAGCATATAAAATCACACATTGCCTAATTGAATCTTACAGAGCAGTTAAGATCTTGGGGCAAAGTTTGCAGCCCGAAATATGATGGAAAAAGAAGTGATTCACGTGAGCGGATATTACGTTCATAGTTGCGCCAACCGTTAGTCATAATTACCCTTCTTTTTAGGGAAATATTTCTTCCCATGGAAAAAGCCGCACACTATGTTTTTCGGCATATGAGATGGAAATTTATTCACAATCACTGTGGAATATTTCCCATTAATTACTTATTGTTTACTTGCGTTGTTCTTCTTTGTGTTCATTAATATTTAGTGAATGTAATATAATACAATGTAGAAGTGCAGTAAGGAGTAACTTGTGAGTGACCTTAGACGGAATATTTACGCTTCACGTATTGCTTAGGTTTTTGTCGATGACGTTTTTGCCACCGGAAGACTTGAAGTTGATGTGGGCGACACGTGCGGAAGAGAATGCTAAAGTCTAGTTTCTAAAGAGAGTGAATCTGCTCGTATTACTATTTCTGTCCTTTGGCGAAAACTGTTCCAGTTACAGAAGGTTTATTCGGATGACTGAAAAGCATTGATTTCTTCAATCGATGAAAATTCTCAGCGCATTTGTAGGATTCTTGTCAATCCTAGCAAATGGTTGTTTTGTTGAAGGTAAATCCAAGTGAGTGATAGCCATTGTCAAAGCGACAGCACTGCTGCAATGAAAGCATTGCTTAGTCTTGTTTGAGTATTATGGATCATTTTATTCTCTTGTTGATGTCGTAAACTTCGCCATTCTTTATTCATCTTCGACTTCATCTATTTAATTGCTCATGTGGGTAGTTAGACGCCTCCTGATAGTCAATCATCGATGCTATCAAAAAAAATGGTTGTTTCACTAAGACAAAGTTGATTTCAATCACCGCTGAGACCTCTCTGTCATATTTTTGTCACGGAAAAACTCAGTGGACTATATTATCTTGCAATATCCCGTATATTGAAAACAACAGTTGGTTGTGTTGAAAGGAGGCTAACTATGTTCACATCATGTGAAACTTTCAACGATAAAAAGAAACAACAACCCCAAACGGGTTACCGCAGAGTAAACAAGTTATTTTGTCGCTGGTTGCCGTGCACAAATCGGCTCAGTAGTAATTCCAAATATAATCTGTCTTGAAACATGTCATTATTCATTAACAGTTGAAATATGCAAGTCAGTACATTTAAATTAGCCGCGTTCTTCTCACACCTCCGCTATAGAGACGGAATTTCGCTTGAAATAACTGATTAGCCAGTATCGTTTGTATTCAAAATTAATATTAGGTTTGTAATTTGAAGGCAAAGTCGAAAATATCAACCGAGGGCGTCACGGTCCGTGATAAGCTTAACATGTAATTCCGCATGTTATGGATTGGAAAATCACGAGGTTGTCACAAGGAAATTTTGGTCACATCCACATTTGCTCATATTTGTCAGCAGAAACTATGTACAGTTGTAAATTAAGAACAGATTTTGTCAAATGTCAACTTAAATTCTGCCCACTACAAAAATACAAAAAAAGTTACCAAATCCTTAGTGATAGAATCAGTCAGCCATACTTGGTACAGTGAGCTTGTTTGGGAAATAATGAAAATGCAAAACTATCGGCATGCTCGTTGGCTTATCTAAAACTGTTTAGAAAGTTGAAACTGAACATCTGTACTTGCAAGATCCTTGCAATGATTCCTCGCGCAACTTCGAACATATAAACATTTGCAAGTATTTCACACATTATTCAAAGATTACGAATTCTGAGTTTACTAAAATCGCTTTGGTATTTTTCAGGATTCTTTACAAAACCAATCAAATGTGCAGCTAGGAAAGTAGTGACTCCTATAGATGCCCCACGCCATCAGTACTATCCCTTCTTCGTCAGTGTTTACCGATGTAGTGGAGGCTGCTCTACCAACTCACCTAATACGTACCACTGCTCCGCCACAACCTGGAACAATGTAACTGGAACTGTATTTGATTTGCAAACTAGCACCCAAAAGGTTCTGACGGTTCTAAATCATACCAGTTGTGAGTGCACATGCGTAGCGAAGGCTAAAGATTGCTCTGAAAACGAACTTTACGACGAAGATACATGTAGTTGTCAATGTAAATACCAGGATGAACCTCAAGTAGGATGCCCTGCGAGATTCAGGTGCGTATTACTTCATCTTAACCGTGCAAGGATTTGTTTACTGGCCAGTGCCGACGAAATTGCCCATATGGTTGGGAAAACCCCGAAAGGCTTTCGATTTTTGTTGACACGGAATATTTAGTACAGCGGTTACATATTTGGACCCATGTTAGAAATTCACAAGTGTGATTCTCCCGTATATTTTTGTTCCCCATAGTATTTTGGATGAATCGTCTTCGAATGTGAATCTTTCTTGTTTCTTAGCGATTTGAAAAGCTTTTGTAAGAGTTTCGGTTTCTGGAAAGACTTATGTCATGCGAGTTTGCATATTCTGTTAAAGCCGGAGATAGAATTGTATAATGATGATAAAAAGCTAGAGTGTAATTATCGAACTAAGCTTCCTCAGTTTTTCCGATTTTCGACATTTTCACATCCAAAAATCCGCCTCTTATCAGGCTTATACATTCAAAGGAGTTCTGTGATGAATTCCGTAAAGCTTCTGGAAACGTTAAATGTTCACCAAACGCGATACCTTCTTGAAAACCCTCACCTAGAGATTTACTTGTGGGCCGAAACAAAATCTATGCCTTGCCCAATGTAATACTATAAGCATGGGAATCGGTAAAATTTGGAGTAATTTTTTTTTCTATAGTTGGAGTCAGTTCCAGTGCAAGTGTGTTTGTGCAAGGCCAGTAGAATTTTGTCCTGTCAACATGGTAAGTGCAATTTCTGACATTGACGATCATTTGTTGTTGTTGTTGTTGTTGTTTCTTATAAAAGCTGAAAAAGAGACAAGAATGGATCTCAGTGATGTGTAAACAGCATTATGGCGAGTTTTAAGAGCTTGCAAAAAGGTACCCCTAGTCCTTCTCTCTTCCCCATTCTACTGTCAAATCACTTCCACGGGGGTTTACCCTTCTGTATCGTTACACATGTAAGGTTGAGCTCCCAGGATTTAATAATAATAATAATAATAATAATAATTTATTAGTTGTATAGCCCTATTTACATGTACAGATCAATAGTGCTTTACACTGAATAAAAATTAAAAACCTTATATATCTAAATAAAAATTTACAATAGTAATGGTAGCTAAAAATACATAAGAATAAATTATTTTAATGTAATATATCTGAGTTAATGATTACAAAAAGCTTCATTAAACAGAAACGTTTTAATAGCTTTTTTAAATTTATCCAAACACTTAATCATTCTAATTTCATGAGGAAGTCTGTTCCATAAGTATGGTGCTGCTGCCTGAAAAGACCGATCTCCAAATGTCTTCAGCATCTTACCCTTAGGGGGCTCTAAGTAAAGACCGTCATTAGATCGAAGACAATAAGAAGATTTTGATTTTGAAGATTTTGATTTCCCAGCCAGTGAGGGATTATCCATCCTGGTCTCAGTCAGTTAAGTTTCACTTCACAGTACAGTCGTCATCAGGAAGTTATCATTCGCAGACGGGTGCTTTCCATAAAGCGAGTCATAGAGTTTACAGCAAATATCACTCTGATCATAACTGAATTTCCGGTGCTTCTGATGCGCGGTGGGTCTCTTATTTTATGAGAAAACCTCCGAGTTCATATCAGAACATTCAAACAAACATTGAGTGTGTGTGTCTGTAAAGCGGGGATGCGCCTTTTTTTCCTCCACTACCATTAACTTCCTGTCCACTGTTCCTCAGGAGTGGAGTTACACAGCGTGTGGTTGCGTTTGTACTCGGTCTGTTGTGGAATTTTGCAAGTTGGAGAAAAAAGTCCTCAACGCCTCAACTTGTGAGTGCGAAGAACCTAAAACAATAGTGAAAAATTTAAATCCTGGTGTCCCTGGCAAAAGAACTGGTAAGTATTAAACTGAAAAAGATAATATGTGTAAGCTTGGCTTTTAATACGAAAGGTGTACCATCTGCGCAGGCACATTTAGAATGGGCAAACGGAGCCTGCCTTCTTTCTCATTTTTCTATGTTTGTTTCATTTTTGTTCTTATTTTTGTTTTGCTTTAAATTTTGCCTTTTAATTAATTTTCTTTGGAGTGATAGTTAAGCTGTTGATGGTATGGGTGAGGTATCATGAAAAACCGGTTGAGGTTTGTATCAACAGGAGATATGTTACCATTATTAGTGAAATGCGACCAAGGATTTACGCCTTAAACTGCAGCCATGCAAAACTCGCTTTGTCAGTTAATTTATCGATCTTAAATTCAATTTTAGCCGAACTAGTAAACCTGTTTTTGATCACTTTTCCGAAAAAAAAAGTCCGGCTTATTGACCTAGGATTGAAATTGATGAACTGAAAAATGATCGTGGGCACATAGTTGTTGTATCGAGTTGCTGTCAAGTTGGTACACACGAGATAATCGTATGGAAGGTCCTATGGTTTCCTTTCTAGGGTCCTCTGATTGAAATTCCTCATTTCTTAGCCTGTAGGACAATTTCTTCTAAATTTTACTCGAAAAGTCCAATCGTCGGCATTGCTTACCCCTATTTTCCTTAAACACAACAGATTTCGATCTCTTCCTTTTTCAGTGGAGACAACGAATTGGAAGCAGTTTGTGTTATTTATGGTTGGAGAGTTTGTCGTTTTAATTCTCCTATTTGACTTGGTCATATACTGGAAATACGGGGGTGGAATTATCTGCAAAGCCTGTCGCTGTCCTCGTAAAGGTAAAATCTCAAAAAATTACTTCTCTCTTTTAGTCCTATCCCACATAAAAATAATTCATATAATCCACGATCATAACATTAATATTTTGACTCCATTAACCAAATGTAATAGTGCAATTTTAGGCAACAGCGACTTCCTATTAAAAAATATTTTGCTTTCCTCTTAATTGAAATCGGTCCAAATCTCAGTATCGGTGATATTTCTCCATTAACAAACCTATGTGAAGTGACCAGTTTGTTTGCATACCGAAATTAACTTCACTACATCCTTTTAGCGCAACGGAAACCTGAGTGACTATAACGTGGGAAAATAGTGAATATTTGCATGTTGTTATTTACCTAGACTTTCTCTCAGCAAAACGAGTTCTTGTTCACGTGTCACTGATCAAATTCAAATGTACCCGATCGGGATACAATAGCGCAGTTGTTGCCCGCACGCCGAATACAATAGCATGTTTTTGCCTCATGATTGTTTAAGGGAAAGTCTAAATACATAACAAACCAATTAATGTATGGTCCCTCGGGAAACTAGTTAGTTTTGTTTTCCCTCGAGTCCTGATGTTTCCCTCAACCTCGTCTCGGGAAGCATCAGGACTCCGAGGAAAGCAAAACTAACTGTTTCCCTCGGGACCATACATTAAGTGTGTATTGTTTGTCTCTTTAGAAAGGAGGATGAATCAGATGTCTTAGTACAACTAAGATCGATTTATTTCCATCTTTTGCTTCACAGATACTTCAAATAATGGTCAAGCAGTCGTTGATCGTGGAACTTCAACTGGACTTAATGCAAGTAAAGACGATAGTCCTACAATTGGTAATAAGTCTCCATAACAGAAGAGAAGTACGTATTAGTCTCGACATGCCCCTCTAATACCATCAATCACATTAAATCATTTACCTGGAAAAAAAGGGATCATAAACAACTCGCTGCTCGGCAGCATCATCACTAGCGTGAGTGACAAGAAACGGCTCTAAATAAGCTTAAGAAATTGTAATTCCTTGCCTAATTTGACATGGTCAATGTTTTTCTTCTCTCGAATTGTTTATCTCGAGGTTTTGTTCTATTTTAAAGAAATAGTGTGTGACGCTTAAAGTGACCGGACTAATAACATCGTTTCATGGCTCGTTGCAGTAGCTATCATGACTGCTATGCTCCTTCAGCTTTAAGTGACATAAATCAGTCCGCCAGAAAGACCTTTCCAGCTATATCCATCTGATAAAGTGTCTCTTCCTTATGACAGTAACTACTGCTTTGCTGTAAAAAAGCTAACCAATGGTAATGTATAGTTGAAAGAAAGCCAGGGATATTTTTAGAGAAGCACGCATGAATCTTTAAAGGAGTAGATTGACGCTTGGCGCACGTGCAAGCTTCTAAGCAGCTTATTCAAATCGATTGTTTGTTCAACTGTTAGAAATGACCTTAAAGTCTTACACGTGTCCAGAAAAAGGTTCGGGGACTTAGAATCTACTTAATAATCTGTGTCAAGAGAACTTAGTCTCTTGCCTGTATAAATATCACATTTTTGGCATAAAGTTTACCATTTGAGTGCTAGAGCTGCTGCTATTGCTGCAGTAAGAAACAGTGCAAGAAAGAGGGAAGTTCTTCTCGCGCACTGGAGTAGGAAAAGACAGATTGAGAAATGTCAACAGCATTACCACGCTTTGAGGACTGACAATGAAATTCTCTCAAACGAAACGGTTTAGCTGGTCGCGTTATGCTGAAGAAAGTCATTGAGACAAATTATTACGTAACAGAAAAGGTAATGAAAAAAATTATAAACTATTTTTCTTGTAAAATTTATTGCAGAACTACGCGAGCGTAGATTTTTAAAATGAAAATAAAACGACACATGTAATATACTGGCCAATTGCTCCTCCAGAGTCCCATATATATTCCAGTCAGTAAACTAAGCCGGACCACAAGTGCTTTCGAACGAAGAATAGGAAGTAAAATCTTCCATATTCTAACTAGTCTTGACCATTTTTCGTGTAATGTTTAGACAGGGAATGTCGTACATTAACCTCTCGATAACTGCCTGTGTAGAGCCTGTTAACAGGTTTATATCGCACTTTGGCAGCCGAAAATGATAACCATAACCTCCACACCCGCTGGTGAGTGCCGTCACCTCGTATCATTTTAAACGGTGCGAGAAAACGAATCAATGTTTAGTTTAAAAAATGTACGCGATTTGAAATTAAAACCAAAAATGAGAGAGCAACTGAACAGATAGATTGATACCCAGATTCCTTCCTCCCTAGGGTGGAAGAAGATAATAAGGGTTGTGATATGTCGCATTTCGTGGTGTTGCCCAGGGAAATTATGTCATTACACAGCCACGTCAGATACACCCCAAGCGTGAGATTAAGGTCGAGAAGTTCACGATACCCGAGACTCCGCTTAATCTACTTCTCAGTCCTACTATCTCTGCTCTATTTAACAAATGGAGAACCTTGACTGTGCTCTATTCTGTTGTAAAGCACATAGGAAGCGGCTTGAGCACGAAAGAAGTGTAGGGAGAAACACGAGACGTAGTCAAAAGAAGTTTAGGGAGGAACGCTTCCCGCGTACTTTACAACAAAACAGAGCACATTCAAGGCTTCTCTATTTGTTTTAAAGTAAAGAATCCATTAATTAACCCCCCCTCCCACGCGTTACTTTCAATTTTCAAAACAAACTTAATTTCCAAAACGAACAACAGAGTCGTCAGCATGCTCTATACTCTCATAAAGAACCGCTACAATAAGTCAGTCAGAATCCTTTTTAAATGGTTCAAATAATTTGATTGGTTGAACAAAAGTAACGCTGTCAAAAATGTCAAACCATTAAAGTTCACAATCTGTTCGGCAGGTCGAATTTAACACTTGCTGGAAGTTTTTTAGTCTCTAATGTAGAATCTGGAAGTGAAACGTTTAGTAAAATCCGGCCGAATTGAAGCTCATAAAAACACGCGAGTTTCTTCATAAGACGATTAGAAAACAAACTGCCCAAGGCGTGAGTTTGGTGAATTAAAGACAGCCAAATTCACAGGAACATGAAGATTGCTTGGGATGACAACGCCGAAAAATTCGGTAGCTGTGACTGAATGGCCTTCCACACAACGCATCGGAAAGGATATTAGAGCAAGTCCTTAGTTGTTCATTCGAAGGGTGGCCGTTGTAATGTCTGAGGCTTTCGCCCAATGTAAGGTAATCCGGATTCCGGAATCCAGGAAATTTTTGGTCGTGGAATCCGGAATACTGGGCATTGGAATCCAGAATCCCGCTAAAGAATGAATCCAGAATCCATTAAAATCGTATAGACGGCTTTCATGCGCATCCATGCATCCACGGTCATGCTAAGATGCAGACTACAGACCATGTAGACCGCGCTTTGTTCGCTGGAGAATTTCGATTGTTACAGCTCGCGAGAAACTGACAAATTCAGTAATGACCTATCACCCAATCGACTTCGATACTGACATAGCCAAAGTTCCCTACTCGGTAATTATCGATCAGTCTTCTACACAGATTCAAAAACCTTCCTAGTAAAGTTCGATTTTAGCTTGCAGCACTTTCTTTACTGTAAAGTTCTTTGGGCTGTCTTGTGAAGATCCAGGTAATCCTTACCTCTAAGTCAACGTCACGGTCCACACAAATTACATCTTGCCGCGTGGGGCTAATCTGCATGAGCTCGAGAAACTTGACCCCGTGATTTTGTCTTGCTAGATAACGCGAGCTCGAAAGAACCTCGTAAAATTTCCTCATGTGGTGTCCAAAAATTGGAAACTGTCCCAACGTTACCGAAAGAGTAAGAAAATGATGTAAACACCTTAATCATATGTAAATCACATTTTTAAAAAAGCAAACAAAAAAGTTGCACAGTCTGCACGGTCTGCACAGTCTGCATGGTCTGCAGTCTGCGTTTTATCATGACCAATGCAACCACTGTAGAGTGCAGGTCACTCACGTGGTCGATGGGTGTGTAAATTTAGAGGGACTAAAGAGATTGTTTACATAATAACAGCATTCAAATCCCACAGGATATGCTTGGATTCCAACATGGCGACAGACCACACGTTTCCAATTACGATAAACTTTGAATAAAGATATATCTGAATACTAATAAAGACGGGAGAGGTCTATTTCTAGGTCAAAATTTCGACATTTAAACATAAACCGCTTTCTTTAATATTTGGCATTCGGAATAACAAAATTTAAGATTTCATAAGGCATCATATCTCAGTACAAATAAAGTAAGATACAACCAGATTTTAGGGTCAAACAGGAAAGAATCATTGCTCTGGAGAATTCATGGCCGACGTAATGTGATTTGACTTGGCTAACCTTATAAAGAAAAAAGGAATTGTAGAAAAGAGAAACTCTCATTCTTGGAAAATTACCGTGTAAATGCAGATCTTTTGCGATTTTGCAAAAGTTTAAGTACAGTTGAGTTGGTTGAAGACCGTTTTATGCGCAATCTCATAACGTCGAACATCATCGCCAATTACATATAGGAAAACAAGCTTTTCTTAGTCATAGTCTGCGATTTATTTGCGACATACACGGGGTGTTATTAAAATTATATTTCAGTTTAAATTTTTCGTTACTACTATGGTTTTTGTTTAAAAGGAAAGTTAAAAAAGTAATTTGAGATGATAGGGAAATATTTTCGAGCTGTTTTGTTGACAGTTCTCCATAAAGTCAATTTTGGATTACAAAAATTGGCCACCTTTTCCCAGTCAGAAAATATTATGCTGTGCTAAAACAACTTGTTAGTCCAACAGTTATTTAAAATTAAAAATGATAAGCAATGATTTGAACTATGAGTTCTTTTGATTCCGATAAATCACTTGAAGAACCTGGAGCAACCTGAATGAAAGAAATATGGTACGCCTCTTCAGAGTTGCTAAAAAGATGTAGAATGAATGGACATTGGATCTAAGAGACAGACAGTCTCAATAGGTATTCTTAGAAGAAAAATTTATGCCTTGATTTGCTGTAATATATTTCTTGTAATTACCAAATGTTGTTATGGAAAAATGACTATACAAACATGCATTCACACAACATGTCCTTCAATAACGAAATCCGCCATTAAAGTCATTCCTAGAAGACGAAATGCAAAAATTAGGAGCAAACCAGAAATTAAAATCTGGAATCTTTTATGTTTTGGAATCCGGAATCTTCACAGGTAGAATCCGGAATCCAGCATCTGGAATCCGGAATCCACAGCTTGGAATCCAGAATCTAATACTGTCCTGGATTACCTTACATGGGGCGAGAGGCTTGCTTCATTGCGATGACCAGAGATCGCTATAATGGCTAGCCGCGATGGATCTCAGCGTGATCGCAGTCGCTCTAACACTCATTCTATGCAAGTGTTAGCTGTGTTGGATTTTTATTACTGTACGTAGGCTTGCAATCTAACTGAGCGTGAAAACCTTCAAAACTCGGATTGTCACGGTCCTTTTCGTTTTCTCTTTGAGAATTTTCGTCTCTGCTCACGTTATAATAACGTAAATTACGGCGATTGGCATGTTTACAAACCTTTCTTTGGTTCTGTTGTTGCTACTTCCCGGCTCGCTTGTTCCGAAATTTCACTTTCAACTAACGAGAAAAAGCTAGAGAGACATCCGGGAAATCAGGTCGGACATCGTACAATTTGGCAGATGGCGTGACAGCTTTACCTCTATGTTTTCAAAACAGTATAGTATAGTATACTCTGACAGAGCACGCTCCTTCAACCACTGACAGCGCACGCTGTAACCGAACTTTATTTTAAAAACTGATCAAGTCTTTCGATTATAAGACGAGACATCCACTTATGAGACAGGTAAAATGTTCTTATTCTGTATCATAACGATCACTGGTGGCAAAAACGATGCCAAAGACAACTCCTAACTAGCCCTGTGTAAACAAAGAAGCGTTTTGTTCCAAAGAGCAACTTCAAATTCTCGATTTCTCCTGCTTTTTTAAACCCAATGAAGTTTCACCATACTAGACTTCAAGCCTTTATTCCAGAAACCCTTCTTCTCACGTTCACCCTGTTGAATCTGAAAGGAATAAAAAGTGGAAAGAAAAGATTATAGTTTTTATCATGGGATTTGAAGGGAGAGGTTGAATTTAACGTGACACCAACTGAAGAGCGAGGACCAAATACAGAAATCCTATATAAGGCGGATTAAGAGCGATAACTGGATTAAATACTTACTCAACCTGAGGTTAAGGGATTATTACAACGTTGTAAAGGAAGACAAAAGTATTCTGAGTAAAACAGGAACTAGATGAGTTCGCTGAAAGTATTAAAACTTCTAGTTATTGTTAATCATTTGGTGCAGGTCTTAAAGCTTGTGGTGCCTCGTAACCTATGTAGACGAACACAAGCCAAGCAAACGCGCACGTTTGTAACAAAAATTAGTTTTCACGGAGAGGAAGATTTAGGAGAGAGTGAGAGAGAGCGAGATTTAACCCTAAATGGCGGTTCAGCAAACGATCTTCAGCTTTCAGCGCTCACTCCCCTTGAAAAAAGCCAGACATTTAAATTGCCAAGGGAGAGAATCGTGTCGTAATCGAAAACGTGAAATTACGGTGTTGCGAAAACTTCATGTCAAAGCTGCGAAAAACCATCCTAGAGCGTCACGCGAAACTATATCCGTTCAAGCGCGAACGAGCTTAAACAACTGTCAGAATCTGTAGAGGATTTAAATTAAACAAACCATAAGAGGAGGAACGACAAAGAGTAAATAAGGAGGTTCATACTGCAATGGAAAGCTAAATAGCCCATAGTTAAGTTTCTTTCTCGTCGCACGAAATAGAGAACCGTTTTCTTTCATAGGATCCTGAATTTTGCGTTGACCAAAAAAGTATAACTTGTTTTCTAATAATGGGCACCTATGATTAGAAAGGTCACTATGAAGACTGCTGGGCACACCCCGGATATATCTGATACATCGCATGGAAAAGTTATGAAAGTCAAGCATCTTGTCACTTTGACGTCATCGACCACCGGAAGTAATTTTCTCGAAACAGGCTATTAAGAGTGACCTCGTGGAGCTCAACATCCATTTAACTCTAAACTCGAGAAATTCGTGAGTTGCTGAAAGGCGCCCTAGTTTGAGCCAAAAGGTAAGTTTTTATTTGCGGATCTCTTTTTGCGTGCCTTTAACTACAAGCAAAATCGCACAGGCGCAGTATCATTCTCGCCTCCTCGCTGCTCATTGTAAGAGTAATCAGTGAGGCATGGAAAGAGTGTTTTCAATTAGCACGGCTTTTCGTTTAATGCAAATTTACCGAAGTTACTGCGAGCGAAGGAAACCTTTGTTGATCACAAGACTCCTTAAGCTGCAAGATAATTCATTTCGCAAAGTGATTTTGAAAGACAGAGCAGTAGATAATCCGCTAAAGAAGGGAGTCCCAAGTCCAAGACATTCAAAACGTAGCTACCGACATATTACGGTATGTAAATACAAATCATTTTCATTCTGATGTGTTGATTTGTATATTCGAGAACCATTTTCTAGAAGCTCACTCTCTCAGCAAAATGTGCGTTTTCAACGTTTGAAAACATCAATAATTATGGACGAATCTGCACGACTCGTTAATTACTGTTTGGCTGAAGGAATGAGAAGAGTTCTGCATGTAAGACTTATAAATCGGAAAAGATTTGCGGGTAACTTTCGTTCCCTCTGAGTAGACACATCATTACACGTCGTGTGCTGCAACATATGTATAAATATTCACAATCCCACGAATGAGCTTTTCTGATCGTCTGTTTGATACTTAGAAGGTGTTTGGGTGATTTTAAAAAACTGGCCGAAAATAAACTAAACTTTGACCACTTCAGTGACGTTCACACGTTATGCATAAAACGCTTAATTTGGTTTGTTTGCTGTCCTCTTTTATCTGTCGGACCTCGTTGGAAAATTTTTTAATCTACCTTATCAGATCTGGTCTTACTTGCATCCAAGTTCCCGTGTCAAATGTGTATGTACTGGTCTCTCCGATTAGTTTGGTTTTTAATCCGATACACGTATCGTGTGATCACCATCACTTTAGCATTCAGATAAGCAAATAATTATCCACCGGTCGTCTTCCAAGTAGGGAGTGGTGACTGACATAAAATCAACACACTTTTGAGGGGATTTCGATCGCTATTTCTTAATCACAACATTATGCGATTAGGCAAAGGTTGGCAACTCGTGATACGTAAGGTGACTAAATAAAGTATTGCATATCAAGCTTATGTAAGTATTTAGCTTAAAGATAGAACAGTGATCGTAGACGCGCCCAGATCTGCTAATTTCTCAAGAGGTGGTAAATTAAGGAACAAACATAGTGTACAACGAGACCTTATGTAGATAACACCACAGTAAAACGAACGGTATTCCTCAGACGTTGTCTGGTAAATAATTTTAGTATTCCCTTCCTGTATTCTACTGACGAGGTGATATCGATACTTTACTTCCCTCGATATTCCATCGAACCAGTTTTTTAGCACTGCTTGACTGGACATTGGCTCCTTTTCAATTTTGTTATTAAATGCAGATGAAGGAAGAGGAATCGAGGCTTACTCCCTGAACGTGTGTTTCGCACTGAAAATGAACCTTGAAACAGTCCACTGAAACGCTACACTCACTCGCTCACCAGATCTCATTTGGACTTCCTGGGAGTGTCGCACAAAGTTTGCCTTGACAGGAAGTCCAACCCATTAAAATCTTTCAGTTTGATTCAGTCAAAAACAGAACTGAGACATGATCCAGCAACTTCCCTCCTCACAATTCAATACAAGTATCTCAAATTTTCTAACCCCGATATATTTTAGACTGCCTATACGAAATGTAAGCAGGCAGTTTGGCAGTTTGAACTTTTCAAAAAGCTCCTCTAGCTTATGATTTAGAGGGTAAGGTAAAAGTCTAGGTACCACTATCGGTGTTAATTGCTCAAAATGGTTAATTAAACTGTAAAGACGACAAGCTCTAATTGATAATTCATTATGAGTCCGAATTCTTCAAAGTTAGGTATTTTGGTAATGTTCGTTTTAAAGAGCTCAGAAATCACGTCACTAACCGTTTAATTCATTGGACTAGTGAAGTATACCCTGCACACGAGCTCACGTTTCTTTTTTTTTTTTATTTATTTATGTTTTCCTTTCAGATTCCTCAAGATCAAACGTGAGATCGTACTGCGAGTGAATTTCCTGAAAGATAAACGAAAATGTTGCTGGTCATTTCCATTTTTGTATTTGAACTACTGGATGTAACTTTGTCGGCCCAGAAAGGGGAAAGTAAGTTTCAAAGTCAGATTTTAACAGTTCCGTGGCTGTGCAGGTTTGAAAAAGTAGCCGATCTTAACGATCAACACTTAATCAAAGGGATCATCAGTCGTCATAAATTAAATCTTAATACTCCGGCCGTAAAACATATTCTCTGTGGGAAGTAGTCAGCTCTTCTCGAGGCTTTTACGCCAAAATCCCTCTCTGCCGTTACTCGGTATTTCCACTTTACCAACAATCGTGGCTAAGCTCGACTACGCGGGGCAGGTTTTTTGAGAAGATGAACTGCCGTGAGGTAAAAACCATCAACAGACTGTATCCCACTTTTTCAATGAAAAGTAAGTGTTAATCTCCTTTTAAAGTTTAACAGATCAAACGCACTTGCATTGTTAAATACTTGTTGTTGAAGGGAGATAGTCTGTGTTTTTGTGACCCGCAGAACTCTTATTTACCTCGTTAGATTTCTATCCACTGTTCAATTCTACGTGACATCATCTTAATTGCGGATATCCTGGATCCCAGACCTCACTTCCCATCTTAGCCATAATAACTTCAATAACGACGATAATGATAATTTCAGCTTTATTTCCTCTCTTCCTCTCTCTCAGGGTTGACAAATGTTCTCTGTCAAACGCACGAGACCGTTATTCCCGTAGATTCAACTGATCATGGCTTTTACCCTTTCTATGTGAAGCTTCATCGCTGTGCTGGCTCAGTGGGCACAGTGTCTCCCAAAGTGCAACATTGTGTGGCACAAAGTTACGAGGAAATAAACGTCCCAGTGTATTCGCGTGCAGCAAACTTTCGCCGGACGACCGTCACCATGAAAAATCACACCAGCTGCGCTCCTGAATGTGTAGCCAGTCCGCTTGACTGCGATTTGGCAGTACAGGACTGGGACGATAATTTATGCGCATGCAAATGCAAGTATCCTGACGGACCACCTAAGGAACTCACTTGCAAAGAAGGATTTAGGTACGAACCGGACCTTAAGAATCGCAATGGAAGCTTAAAAAACGTTTTACTTTCCCTTTAATGGTTTGTCCTTGCTGGAATATATTTATATGTTATCTTAGGAGATCGTTAGGGACATATTTAACTGCAGAGAGATGGACGGTAAAAATGTACGACCAAAAAATTAAATTACTCGTCAGCCACTTAACCATCCATATTTTTGGATTATTAATTTTTTCGGTGTTTACTTTTTGAATTTCTTTCAGGTGGAACAAATATAAATGCGCATGCGAATGTGACCGAGCACCTGAGCACTGTTCCATCAGAATGGTAAGGCATTCTTCATAACCGCCGAATTTTAAGAATTTCACAATTAATGGAAGGAAAATACAAATTTAGAAAATAGTCAACGTTCGAATGACGCACTCTCTGCAGTAAGTTGTCTCCCGATGACGTTCGAATGACGCACTCTCTGCGGTAAGTTGTCTCCCGATGTCACCTGAATTACAAGTCAAAACCAATTATTCCCAAGATTCAGATCTTAGAAGACTTTTTAATCGATTGAGAGTCTTTCCACTGCGTAAATATAAAACTGCTCAACGATTCTCTGCTCGACTGTGACAAAAAAAATTTCTATGTTTTCCTGAAGAAAGTCTTAAATGAATGAAAATATATGTACAAAATGTACCATGTAGAAGAACAGTATTTGACAGCTTGATATTACATTCCTCTCACGGGTTTTAATCGTTACACATTCTTTTTCATAACTGGTTCTTCATCTGAAGCGCATCATGATTCTTTTTGTTTTGTACAGACTTGGAGCAAAGACATCTGCGGTTGCAAATGTGAGAGCAGTGCAGTAAATGACTGCATACAAATGGAATTGGGAATTGACGTTGATTGCCAGTGCGTGGATGTGAAGGCGTTCCGCAGACATAAAGCAGGTAAACACGTATCTCTAAAATGAGTTTATCTCTAATTTGATGCTAACACGATGCACTGACATTTGGTGAACCGCTGGAGTCCAAGACGAGGCTCTAGCCTAGGAAAAGTCCTTCTCCACCCAGAGGTATAAAATGGTATTTAAAGCTGCTGTAGTTTGTTTGCAATGGAATTCGCATTGACGAAAAAGCTTGGGGCAATTTGGGGGAAAAAACATGGAATTATAATTTGTAGTCTATAATCTCAAGCACGGACATATTCAGGACGCTATGTTATTAAATCATCTTTAAAGACCATTTCTTTTATCAGAAAGAAATGTGACAAATTTTTTTTTTTGATTATCGAACATTTTTTCATTTTAAATTTCACCTTTTCACATTTTTCTTCTGTGCATCTCCCAATGCACGTGAACACCCTTCACGCTTGCCTCGCGTTTGCCTCCGTTCGCCTGAAAAACACAAAAGTGATACCCCTGTTCAGCAGGTTAGGAGGCACATTTTGTCACGCGTTTAGCACAACATTTTGGTTAAGGCAGCCCCCAATTTAAGACTGTACTTATGAATTCATTCCCTGTCTGATTTCTTTTGGAAATATTTTACTTTAATTTGGCAAGCCGTTATTCCCCTGAAATGTTACCAGCTTTTAATTTTTTTTCTAAAAGTATTTGTTTTTTCCTGCAGTTTACTCTCGAAACCGGATGTTTATAACACTTCTGATAGGTCAAGCAGTCATCATCATACTCCTCATTTGTGCTCTGGTACACTGGGTACGAAAGAGAAACCGAAACAGCTCGGCCAACGCTCCGCTCGACGGATCAGACCCAGGAAAGACGAATGATGAAGTTGCTTCTCAATGTAAGTATCTTGAAGAATATGAGGAGTTTTTCTGGATACAAAATAGGGATCATATCCAAATCTTATCCGAGAATCAGGGATGGTCGCTGCTTAGGAGGTATCAAAGGGGGGGGGGGAGATCTAGGAGGAACTGATGGACGCAAAGGATTTAAGTTATGCAAGGAATATCATCGATCTGCTTTCTTAAATACAAGCTATATTAATAATATTATCGTTATTTATAAAACCTTTCAGACCTAAAGGTGGCTGCTAATTCTTCCGAGTCCTTAGAAGGTGCGAAGGATTCAAGTGACGACGATAGCTGCACTGCTCCTTTGTCCCCCAAAGTACGAGTTACAAACATCTAAAACCATACCTCAGGGATACCAGTATCTCAGCGACGATATGCCACAGAAGAAACAAAAGAGAAACATCCACAGAAAGACAAGGTGAAGTATAATGGGGACGATATGCCACAGAAGAAACAAAAGAGAAACATCCACATAAAGACAAGATGAAGTGTAATGACCCATTCGACCCTAATATAACAATAAAACTATAGGATGTGCTCAGTAGTTAATCTCGATTTCGAGATTAAAATCTTTTATGATAAATAGTGAGCTGATATGCTCTCCTCACCTTATTTGCGCAGGTACAGAGCTGAACTTATATGTAACTGACCAAATTTGAAAAAGCCGAACTATTTCGCTAAGATCGCTTAGAGGCGATTTTTTATATATAAAAGTCAATAACATGAAGGCAGATGTTTTTTCCCTGCCTGTCTATGAAATGAGGAGTGTACTCTTAAATAATATATTTCAACAACGAATACAATTTAATCCCCCCAAATTGGAGGCAGAGAGAGTAGTGTTAATAACACGTAATATTTGCTTGCCTTTGCTCATTTATTTGCTAGGATCTGTCCCTTTCTTGTACCCAATGTACTCAGTAAAACGTGGTAAGTTAAACCAATTTTTGATTAGTAGGGTTCAAGTTGTCACTAGCCTCTATTTTCAATGTGCTAAATTAGACGTCGACAAACATCAGTTTAAGCAGCTTCTATGAAGAAGAAAATTTTAATCCGCATTTAACTCTTTATCCCCTAGCATCAGTATCCCTATTCTCCATACCATTCACTATACATTTATCAAGGTGCTGACAAAGAGAATTTGTTTAATAATCAAGAGTTGCTTTAGTTGGTGATCATTTCCTCTATTCTCATGACCTTAATGTTTGTTTCAAGGGTGATATTGTAAGGAGAAATTAGATGCTAATCACTCTGAGGGTAGAAAGGTCAACAAAGCAGTAAAACATGTGTAAGCTTTGGCGTGAGTGGGGTTCATGACCCAAGGAATCACGTGCACAAGGCTTGCCAATCATGGTCAAGCTAGCTCCTTCAACGATCATTTTAAAATTGTTATAAAGATAACATTGTTAGTATTTTAGCATCGTATTTATTTAAAAAAAAAATAGTCAGATCTTTTAGCTAGAGGAGGTAATTTGGAAAAATAATCATTGTCTATATGCGGAACATAAGAGTATAGCTAGGGACATCTAATAGGAATCACTGAAAGTAGCACAACGCAATGTCGCACCCACTTTCAGACAATTGTATCATGTTTTGGGTTATGACATGGTGCTATATTGATTCAAAAGTGCCTCTTAAAAATGATTTACCAACTACACGTGAACAAAAGGAAGCTGTAAATAATCCCTGACTCTCTGGAAATGAGAAATTCAATAAATATGGAAATTAAAGAATTTGAAGACTATTAGGTGAAGAATTTGTAACTGAAACATTTGTAGTCTCACGATAGAGCCTGCAGTTCCCCTTTCTAGTTACTAATCATTGCTGAACATAGAACCCACCCTACGAAAAACAGGGCTCAATTCAGAGAATGGAAAATCCTCCAAAGTAACGAACCCTCAAAACTTTGACCTTGAAAGAAATAACCTCTGGAATAACAAAAATCTGGTAATAACGGATACAACCATTTTTTTTCCTCTCTGAATACTAGATAGTCGTGGTAATAACATGATGTTGATGAATGTATGAGAAACTAAAACCTCGAAAAGCTATTATAATTTTGATAAAATGACTTTATCATCATGAGCTAAAAAAAGTAACAGAAAAAATAAAAAACCTTCATGTATGGTACGATTGGAATCCCGAAAGGCGACCCCCCAGAAGCAGGGCGCTATGGGAAAAAGTTGCTAGGATTAGTGACTAATCCGCAATCTTCGCGAATACTTAGTATTATTACCAAACGCACGGTAGCCTGACATCAGGCACCATTTTCTTTTTTTCTAAACTCCATTCTACTTCTGTGAATTCATTCCTGCTCATAGAGTTGTCGCGAAATCTCTACAGACTCTGCAGTCGCTGGTGAACTCGATCGAAGAGGACTGTAAGCAATCTTCTTTTTCAAGGTTTATTTGCGTTGATCACCACGATTTACGCTTCACAATGTAATAATCTTGACAATTCTGACTTAACTCTTCATTCGCCTAAACTAAGCTAGTATTTTTTTTTAAATCACGAATATGGTAAAATCCCAAACAAACCTATCGTAATAGACCTATATTTAAAACACCTTTTCCTTTCTTATTTAGCGGACTAAACGCGTGCAATTACAACATCTCTCGCAAAGTAAATGAACTGCCTACTTTGTCTGCAAATTGTGAAATCTAACACGCGCTCTATTCCAATCACTGACAATTTCGTGACAATTAACGTGTACTAGTATATTTATCAATACTTAATTCGTAACTTAACTTGTATTCCTCGGCAAGAGTTATTTACAAGATCGTTTATGATCCGCTTTAAGTGCAGTACCGGAAACTAGGGTTTGGAAAAAAATAAAAAAGGATCGTTTGAGTTGGATTCACAAACAGAAATCACTACAGTGTGGTATTTAGTATCACGGCAAAGCGTTCTCTCTTCTTTCCGCTTGAAGCGATATCATCAACTTCCGGTGGAATAGAACCGCTATCTCTCTTAAAATCGAATCCCTAAGCCTTCTTATGCGACGAAAAAACGTGTTAGTATCAAGTGATTTTCTTAGAAAATGGGTGTGAGAGTGGGTGTTAAAAGGAATGTCTATCAATTATTTCAAAAGAATGTACGATCGTAAAACTCTTTGGAATATTTTGTAGACTTTCGATCCTGTCTACCTTTTATTTCCTTATTTCCTGTACTGTCAAGATTGAAAAGAGAAATCTGATTAATTGATGTAAAATGTCGTCATGTTATGGAAATAATTCCGACGGGTAATCGAAGAGAATTTTTCTCACGCTCCTCTAAGTAACAGGGGAAAGCCCCGTCTCAGCCTTTGAGTCCATACAAAAGACTTTCATTTTCTGGCAGTATTTATTTGATCAGTCTCGATTGTCAACCTGTCATCTTGTATTGTTCCGCCTTCGTCTTGTGACCTATTTACATATCACTGAAACTTAATAACCTAGTAATTACGACGCGACTTCATTTCAATGAACCAAAACTTACAAATCGAACGTGAGTCAGGTCCTGGCTTTAAAGGATAGGGGGTAGAGAATTCGCCGATCTCGCAGAGAATAACAACACATCAGGACAAGAATTCAAGAGCTATGATGCAGTTTTCAATTTGGACGATTGTTCTTCTTTTATCCCAAGCCGCATTTCAATGTACCGGTGAGTAAATTGCCAAGTGTCGATTCTCACACATAGCTTGACTGTTTCATTCTCAAAATCCCAATACTTAATGATTAAGTCTGCACCTGTGGTGATGTAATGAAGCTATTTGTGATAGATGCACCGTTTTCGTTCATTCATTTATTCATTCCTCGTCACCAACGCCAGATTCATAAAACTACTATCGACCGCTAAATTCCGGTTTGATTCCTGGTTACAACATATGTAACAAACAATGAAATACTACTGTATTGGGAATATGTAGATAAAAACGACAAAGAAAAAGCAGTCAAAGTGTTAGGAAGTTATTTTAAAAGCTATCGGCTATCGGGGAAAACCCTAAGTCACCGAGTTTACGTCCTGTCTGAATTTTTCTCAGCAACCAAAAGAAGTTTTCTGTAAAAAAAGTCACCAATTCTATCATACAATATATTTTCTTTATCTAGAGGCTCTAGAAAAATAAGTAAGGTCAAACATCCACGCATCAAGCTCAAAACTTTCTTCGATCAAGACAAACTCATAATGGGGCGTTTACTTTCGCTTTCTGATTTCATTCATCGAAAGATCCCTCAACCGGTAATAGCCCTTCATGGACGAGTCCCTTGAGAAATTTCGATCAAGACATGTGGTCAGGTTCTGCTGGGCTGATCGTGTTATTTAGTGGAGATACGGGGCGGGGGAGGAAGATCAAGACATTTTGCATTAGCGTTCGATTGTGTTCATTTTCAGCGGCTGTCAAACCTGTTGCTGTTGAGTGCAATCCACCAGTCCTCTCGACTGTGGCAGTGGACGAACCGCACCACAGATATTATCCATATTTCATACGACTCCACCGGTGCGAGGGCTCGTACGGGTACGAAAGCCCCAACATCAAGAAATGTGTGGTCACAGAGAGTAGGGAGGTTACATTTTCGGTCTATGATACTACCAATAGACTATCGACACAAATAAGACTCCAGAATCACACGAAATGTGGCCCTGAGTGCAAGGCAAGTCCTCTCGATTGTGATTTAAAAGTGCAGGAATGGAACGACGAAAGCTGCCAATGCAAATGTTTATATCCACGTTCGCCTCCGCCTGACGATGTCGTGAAACCAAAAAAGGGCTTTGGGTGAGTGATTTTACCACAAAAAAGTCAGTGGAGAGAGAGAAGCATCTATTAATTTCAGATTTTATTGTGCTTCTCAGACCCCTAGCCCAACAAGCTCTGCCTCTGCAATCATTTGTTTGCATTTCAGTTAGGACACACTTAGAAGCCTATCGGTAGATTAAATGAAAATTTTATTTCTGTGACATTTTTCCATTCTTCTAGGTGGAATAACCATCTCTGTCGATATGAATGCAACACACATGAACGTTGTCCGCTTGAAAAGGTAATAAGGTGGTGAATTGACTAGTATTTCCATTATTTCACAATGTTAAATGGGTCATGCAACACTTACACGAGTTGTTGGTAAAGCAAAATCTTGGTCACTCTACCCACAAGGATTGTTACACAGGAGGAATTAGTTTAAAGTTTAAATACTTTTTTGGGAGTACACATTAAACCAATTATTAAATGAATAAATGAAGAATGGTCAGTTGCAAACTGGAAGCCAAAATCCTTTTAAAACAGCCCACACCTATAATCAATTATTACGGGTTAACAACTGAGATGAACATGAAATGGAAAGGGAAATAAATAGGGGAGTACTTGACTAAAATTTACTTGTGTAGTTCATACTTGAATGGGTTATTACTAACTGACTGATTGATTGAAGTAACCTAAAAATATATTATTTTTGTTGTGCTTCACACAGAAGTGGAATAAGAAGAAATGTTCCTGTGTTTGCACATCATTTTATGAACATCATTGTAAGGCTGAAAACAAGTTGATGGATCCTAAAACATGTGCATGTAAAGATCCAATGAAATCAACAGCACCACAACCTGGTAAGTGAAAATAGGGCCAGCTTATAGTTGGAATGGAGAAATAATGTCTTCTTGAAGGGACTAGGGGTTGGTTTGGATGGTATCTTCTATACATACCGATGAAAATATTTCCCTCTGGAAAATCTTTACTTTCAATGGGCCTCACATTACCATAAAAGATTGGGGCAATTTCAGAAAATAGTGTCTGAAATATGAGGAGTTGAAGTCATGGCCCCCTTCCACCCCTTCCACCCCTTCTTACCACCCTTAACAACTCTGCTCATCCATCCTAGGGCTTAACATTGTCAATGGTTTTATAGATCTATGAAAGAAACCAAAGTTGTGGGAATTCTTGCTTATTCATGATTTGTAATGGAAGTTTTTTATTTCTTACAGGGTTCATGACCTATGTAGAATCCAAAGTCCTTGCTGTTTTTCTTGCTCTTGCAATAGTAGTGATTATATGTTTAATTACCTACCTTTGGTACCGCTCAGCTTATTCTACATTTGGATCCTCTGGAAAACTGAATGAGTCAACCAGTAGTGCTGGTATGGTTAATTATTAACTCTTCAATCCCTTAGAGTGACTGGCATCTAATTTCTCCTCAAAGTATCACCATTAAAATCAAACATGAAGGTCACGAGGAAAAAGGAAATGATCACCAATTTTGAAGCTTTTTATGATCAAACAAATTTTCCTTGTCAGTACCAGAGGAAATAGAACAGTATGGAGAATATAGATATCAATGTTAGGAGGGTATAGGGTTATGGAATGGAGCTGACACCTCAAATTTGAGGTTGCTCTATTATTACTAAATCTCTTCATTTTTCTATCTAATTTCTTGTTGTTTCCTTGTGCTTTCACTTCACTGACATCATTAATCAATATGTACCACGATCACTGTTTTTAAGCCTACATACAATGATAATATAATCATTTGTGATTCCATTTCCTCTCATTAACTTACTGACTGATTATCATTCTTTTTATTCACTTGCAGAATCTGTTGGTCAGGGCTGTGAAAATGCTGGTGTTTGGGTTGAAACAGCAGTCTAACAAACCTCTTCAAGTATAAACAACTTAAGATGGCTTTTCTTCTGCAATTAGCGTTTTTTAGAACCAAAATACCTAAGTTTTAACTCTAATTTTAATTTTATACCAAATTGTACTACTGATACTTTGAGTATTAGCTGGTCGTAATTGAAACTTAGAACATCATTCTCATATTTTTTTATGAAGGTTAAGTTCTGAAAATTGCCAGGCATGGAGAAACTAACATAATTTTTCTCAAGGATGCCCCTTTGTGGTCCCATGCACCTAGTGAGTACCACTGGTATACAGGCAGTAAAGGTGGGAATATAAAGCACAACTGCCAACACTCAACCCACCAATTTGTTTAGATTAATAACTGAGCTGTAGGATCCCTACCCTTTCTCTGCCTCAACTTTTGAAACTTGAAATTAGGAGCATCCTTGTGGAGACCATTACAGAAAGTATCCCCTCAGCATACTCTAGATAATTTAGTTGTTCCTAGTATATGTCATCAAATAATTGTCAGTGGGATAAGTAATGGGTGATATCAATAAGGACATTTTACATTAGTAAGTAATTGATTGGTATACTTGACTGCCAGTTCTCCTCTTTTCTGTGAAAAGAAATCTGTAGTGTTTCGTAAAGCACGTTAACAAAGTAACCCAACTTTTGGGATGTCAGGATGATAAAAGTATCATTATCCAATTTAGTTTTCTTAGTAATAAAACTCAGTTCTTCTCTAATTGCCTTGTTATTTCATTAATGCTAGAAGCACCTGTTTTTTTGTAGTTTTGAGGTCAGTATGTAGTTAATGGACTAACCAGAACGTCGTGCCGAAGGAAGCAACCTTTCTTGCCGTCTTAGAATCGGTTGCATCCCCTAAAATACTACTAAATGAACAAAAGAGACCAGAGCCGGTTGTCAAAACGGATTTGAAAGATAAGGAAAAGCTGACTCATAATACAACAATCTGTCACCTTATTGCATCAAGAGATAATTGCAGTTCACAATCGAATCTAGAAAAAGGTTACAGAGGAAATCAATGAGAACTTAATTATGCAAAATGTATGTAGCCCACGTTGCGCAATGAGTATCGACGCTTAGGAAAAGATCTACCGAATGAGAGTAAACATACGCCCTCAATCTATCATCCCGAGGCCTTCTTGTATACAACAACCCCCTCAAACTGGAACTTCATGTAACCAGGCATGATATTGAATCCCTAAGTTTAAGGTTTAAAATAATTTTGCAGTATTTGTTTCTAATTATGACAACGATTCGCGAGATCTCATGTGGGGTCAGAATAAACTCAATATCGCGATACACAAAGGAACGAAACATTAACGAACTGCGTCACAACTCTATGTATGGATATGAAAACAATAGGAATTCCCCCGTGTACCGGTACACCAGGAGAGCCCCAATTTTTTGTTCCACTGAACAGTGCATTTTTAAAAGTTTTGATCGAAAGCCCACTTATAGGAAATTGTCAATCATTCGACAGCTGAACTAATTTTATCTCACCTTTGCTCCCATGACGTCAGAATGACGCAAATTGAAAACGCCTCGCAGAAAAATGGCGGAAGAAGACTAAAAAGCAACAAGAATGTTTGCCGAAAACACTTTTCATTAGAAGGGGTAGGTCCTCTTTGCAAAGAAAGCCACAGAGGATACATTACAAATCATAATTTCAAACCAAAGCAGGATTATTTTCCATTTATGGAAAGACTGAACTCAACATCAAATACAAGATTTAAATCTATCATGAAACTAAAAAACTGTTACCCAGTGGCGGATAAGTGCTAGCGATCTTGATTTGATCATAGAAGGATAGGAAACTACTCCTTAGTTGTATCGTTGTTATTTTATTTTATTTATTTATTTTTTGGGTTTGTTTGTTTTGTTATCGAAATAAAAAATCCTTTCTTTGTTCCCACGATCCAAACTTGGCATGCTTTCGGTTGCCATAAGCGTTTTTCCTTGTGCTAAAGGTCAGTTCATAGATTTCATATTGGCATTATGTTACAAATAAAGCTATCACTTCAAGATCTCGCATGAAAGTCTAGGTGTGACGCACGAGGATAATTTTTAGCTTTTGATCTGTTTTTGTCTGATACTTTCTATTTAAGCTACTCATAGAATGTAAGTGTACCTCTTGCATTTCCCCGCGATTCAAGAATATCCTTTTCTGGATGAGTCATTCGTAGATGTTACCACAATGTGTATGTTGCGTAGTTCCGCCGAGGAAATTTCTAAAATCGTTGAAGTGGCTAGGACAAGAAAAGTTGGAAAAATACACCGCAAACAAAATTCTCATTGCGTCTCACGAAAAGCTTGCGCTCTATGAATTTTCTCCCTAAAGCGTTGCTTTGTCGGTTTGTCGTAATTCTTACGGTGATGTTGGAGTGATGATCATTCTAGAGCTCTATACAAACTGAGGTCAGGAAAGTTCGAGAAATACGTACGTGGAAGTACGCATTAAGTCTAGGAATGCGGCGGCGTTGTCTTTAAATGGATGACACGGGATATCCTACTCCCAAAACCCAACCCGGTTTCATTTACCTTCTTCGATTTAAAAGGCCGCAAATTAATCGACGGGAACAGTTTGGTACTTGAGACACTGTCAGGGTAATTCTGTGGCCCATACACCGCAAAAATCTACCTGTAGAAACCCAAATTTATGGTGAGTAATGTGTTGTAGTTAAGTTTTATTATCTTAATTACAGAAGAATTTGTAGTTCGTGTAACCCAAATAGACCTGGGGGGCTCTGTTTTTCGTTCGTAAAGATTGTACAAAATGCCCATTGCAATTTTGAACGCATATGATTCTCTTACCTTACTTCTGACACCTCTTTGCAGAGATTGCATTAATCAGACAAGGAAACAACGACAAAACATGCAAAAATCAATCGGTATAATCCTTCTCCTTCCACTACTGGGACATGCAGGTATTTATGTGAAAATCTTGTTCTCGACTCTTTAGTCCACTAGCTCCGCCATCTACAATGAGGGCAGCTTTCCAATGATTTCCACTGTTTCAAGAAAGTAGCCACTTCCTAAACCAAATTTAATATAACTTTATGAACGCGACTGACCTTTTCACCACACAATTTAAGTAGACTCAAGAGAATATAAAATGATATACTCTTGGTAGACTTCTATAATATAGAATTTTTCCAATTAAGATTACTAAATAATCAAAGGATCTAAGAGCCTAAGGGTGAAGAAGGAAAGATTTGTTATAAGGTGAAGACAAGAGATTGTAATCTTTAGGTGAAGAATGGTGCCCTAAAGGTGAAAATCGCATCTATTAAAAGTAAGGGTTGACATGAGGTAGAGAAGACATCGGCAGAATTTGACTGTTTGAGGACGGAACAATAAAAGAAAGTTAATGTTAGTTGCCAAGGCAATAATTAACTATTATGTATCAAGGTATTGAAATTAGCTTTTTGTTTACTCCTAGTTCGCTTAGGCAACGAACTCTGCAGACCACGACCGACTTTAGTGCCTATAGACGATCCAGAATTCAAATTTTTCCCCTACTTTGTGAAGCTTCATCAATGCGGCGGATCATGTGACCATATTCAGCCTTCGGTAAAATCATGCATTCCACTTGAGTACGATGAAGTGTCTGTCACTGTGCAAGTGGTGGGTACCGATGAAATGCGGACTACACAAGTGAAAAATCACACGCGTTGTGGATGTGAATGCGTCCACGGCCCGAAAGATTGTGACTTGGAATTAGAGGAATGGAAACCAGACCTATGTCAGTGCCAGTGCAGAAACAGAGACAGACCATCGGTTCCGTGTGGGGCAGGAATGACTTGGAGTAGAGCTCAGTGTCGATGTGTGTGCAATAAGCAGCCTCAATCCTGTGGTCCGAATAAGGTAATATCATAGAGAATTTCTGTTGAGTTGGAAGAAATTCGGAAATTTGATACTTGTGAAATATTCATTGCTCTAAATAATGAAGCCGAAATATTTGACACATATTTTACAGAGACGCATAGGTAAGACAGTACGTAAAGCCGCGAAGTAAAAACTTAGTTTGTACGGGTGTACAAATTCATGATGAGCTTAAAATTCCATTTAATTTTTCCTTTTTCAGGTATGGAATAAAGAAGCTTGTGGATGTGTTTGCAAAGATAGAAGGTACAAAAACTGTGCCAGGAAACAAAAGCGAGTGGATGAAGAGACTTGTAAGTGCACTACTAAAGTGATGCCTCCAGCAGAAGGAAAACTGTCATCTCCCAAACCTCACTCAAAAGGTAAGTAAATTTGTTAAAGTAGTGCCTTCTTTAAGAGAGAGTGCATAAATATCTGACAAAAAAGGTTCAGAAAACTTACTCGAATGTTTCTGGCAAAATTCTTCATTCATCTCAAACCCTTGCAAGTAATACCCCTCTTCCCCTCATCCCTCAAACCCGCACCCCCTACCCCTACCCCTACCCCCTTGCCCCTTCCCCGCATATTCCTGAGTTAAAAAGGTTGAATTTAAAGGACTAATCCTTGTAAGTAATCAAGGTTGAATAACTTTGTTATATAACAATTTGTCATTTCAGGTGGACTTCGCCAAGAGTTTTACGTGATATTATTCATAGGACAGTTTGTCTTGTTGTATATGGTTTTTGAAGCGGTCCTTTATCGTAAGAAAGCTGGTTTAATATATCGCATCACACGGAGCTGCTCAACAAAAGGTAAATTTTATCGACTCTGTCTAATTTTTTCTGAGTTTTTAGAACGGTGGATAAAAATGTAAAGATATATAAACTGTACGGAATTCAAAGACCAAAGTTAGAATCTCCGACCATTACTGAAAATGGAAACTATGTGATGCTTTAATACCGAAGGTTTGGAATTGAGAATGAATGAGTTAATTATACAAATTACACAAACCCTTTTCGAGTAGATTTTTTTTTAACTTTGTTTGCTGTATGACTCGTTGTAATACCCTGTAAGCCACACCTTTTTCGGCTATATATTCCTACTCCAACCAAATAAAGCCGGTGCAAATTAATCCGATTTCGAACTGGACATAGTCTCCTTTATCACCAAATGTGAGTTTTCTTCTGGTCTACCCGTGCGGCCCGTTAATAACCGTGTCGGTCGTTCTTTCCATTAGGCGGTCATTTGGACATCAAGGAGTCAAGAGAAGACATTCTCAGCGTATCAAGCAGTGAGACGGAAACAAATCTACCCACAGAAACAGGACACCACAATGTAGAGGCCTCTATCACAGAAAGCCAAGCTGTCGTGTAAATTGGATGCCGGGAAATCTTTAAACATCTTGCGACGAAGTCCATCTCTTTGCTTAAGATAAGCAAGGATAAGCATGGAATGATATTTTAAGCCAGAGATCAATTTTATCAAACATTTCAATCAGTCGGTAGTATTTTCGATGGCTCCGAGATAAATGTCTAAATATACGTATTGCTTACATGTGAGATGAAGTGTAGAAAATATATCCCTCGAGATGTTTGACCTCCTTTAAAGCTGTATTAAATATTTTCCTTTCTATATACCTATTAATAATTTATTTATTTATTTATTTATTTTTTCATGTATTTGTATCAGCAAGTAATAATATATGGAAAAGAAGACAAGAAGCTGCAGACTACTGAACTTTGATTATTAATAGTAAATAATATTTATTTCAGTTGAGAAGATTTTAAGAAGTAAAGAAAAGTATTTTATTTCATTCATCTATCTTTAGTTATTTATTCTTAGTATCCTCCACTGATTAAAAGATATTTCTAGAGAATTTCTTTCAACGTCAATACATCTGCACCATTGACTATCCCTAAGGCATTCAGTTGACCGGATACGCATAGCAGCTTTTTAAGCCTGGAAGGAATCTTTCACTTTTAATATCATCCCTTTTCGGCTGCTTTCAATTGCAGTTATCGTTTGAAAAACTTGTTTAACTGTCCTTGTTTAAGAAAAAAGAAAAAGAAACTGATGTAAGTCACCAGTTACACTGAATATCTGATCTCTAAGGGGGTGAGGGCGGGGTTAGTATTTCGTGTTCATCACGGTACAGTAAAATAGAAGAGAAGAACAGAAAAGTGTTCTTCACTGAATTTTACCGAGAAAAACATTTATGACTGGATTCTTAGAGGTTTAGGGCTAAAGCGGGCGTTGTAGTTCATTCAACATAATTACAAATAAAAGGCTGGCTTTAACGGAGATCGGATGGAGACTGGATAAGAACCGGGAAGGAAATCAGGCGCTATCCCATTTATTTTCCCTTTTAACATATCTATTTGGTATCATAATGGTACATTATAAATTTTATAGCCAGTTGAGAACAGCGATTACAAGTGAATAAATCTTTTTCCACTGTTTTTCCAATTATGAAAATTTCCCGTGGCCACAAGTAATAAAGATAACGGTTATAAAAATACGAAAGTGCCATCATTGCTATTTACCTCCCAGCAAGAGAATCTCCCATCTCAGGAGACGTTGCCATGTGTACCATCCCTGATTACCTTCAACTGATAAGCGTACTTGTTTCATGAGGCGGATCGATATGACCTTGTGATCAGTGGTTAGAAACCGGAAACAAACAAAACATGTCGATAAGAGGGATCACGAAAGATTAAAATGATCACACACGTATTTGCCAGTATATATTAAAGGATTATCTCCTTTGCTTTTCTTAAATCTAAAAATAAATTTCAGGTGATGGAACAATTCTCTTTTTTTTTTTTTTTTTGAGAGAGACTTTCCCTTCGTGAAAAATCAGGAATTTCCCATTTAAAAAGACTACACGGGCTACACACACGTCCAACTGCTTTTGAAATTTCAAGAAATCTTTCCTCGTAAATGTTTTGTAGGGCAGCCGTATTTCAAGGGAATCCTGTCAACAAGGAAGTAAAAAATAAATTAGCGATAACAGCTTAACCCAAGAAGCCTATTATAAGCTAATTGAAAACAGGAAAATAAACCTACGCGTGAAAACCATGCGGGGGTTCTGTTTTAGGGACTCGCGTGTTTTTTTCCGGCCGCCCGACAATGATCTAGAACAATGAAAGAGAACAAAAAGAAAAAGAGAATAAACAAGCGAAAAGAAAAATTGATTCCTCCCGAACAGAATAAATGAGAAGGCGAAACAGAACCTGAAACTTCAGTAAATCAAATACAAACTTAAGACTGACCCTGTAATGCCTTAGAACCTCACAAGCTTCCCATTTCGCTCACATATTTCGTCACGGAGTTTTGTATTTCATCCACTGAATGCCGCCTTGATAAGCCACTGTTAGTTATTAGGGTTTTGCATAATGCCACTCCTTGTCAACATTTTTCCCAAATTTATGACAAATATGAAGGCGTAACGAGAAAACGGATATTCGTGAAATTCCGTCTCTGTAAATTGATTGATATAAGTTAACGATCCGCGAAATATCGTTGTAACATAAACGATCAAACCGACACCGATTTTAAACTCGTATACAAGAACCAAAAACACTAAACTAGCAAGGAAATCTCCCAGGCAAGGCTTCACAACAAATCAGAATTTGACCAAAAAGAAAAAACCTATAAAATATCTTTCAAGTTAGCTAAGGTAAGAACATTATTTTTATTGAGGTCAGGAATTGAACATGTAAACTAGGTAACACTTGCTAAGCGATAACTTTAGCGTTAATTGTGTCGCATTCCAAGTCAAACCTTTAATGATTATCAACCTTGTTAGCAAGTTGTATAACCTCGTCCTCGATAACGCTTTAGAGGTGACTTTTCAAAAAAAAAAATTGTTAACTCCAATAGCTGGAAATACTTTGCATGCGGATATCTGAAGGATTACGCAAATCTATTTTTCATTATATCACTGACCCAGTTCACACGTGCTCAGTTGTGAAATTTTGCTGTCCCTCCGACGACGCTTTATTAAGTGACATCTTGATTCTAATCATCAATGAGATTACGGAATCAAGCGAGTTCATCAGATGCATGCATAAGTATATTATCGATATCATGCAAGAATTGATAAGACGATCGGAAGAGAATGACTACGCCATTCTCATTAATCTAAAACCAGCCACGCAACGATTTTCAAACTGGCTTAGTCATTCTTGCGCGATCATAGATCAATACTAAGGCTAATAAAAAACTCAATAACTTTTGTACTTGAAGTTATGATGTACTTATGCTCTTGAAGATATGATATTGTGGTTGTATTTTTACTAGAAAACATCCGTAGTACTTTTGCATAATCGTTCTCATTTACGTCACTAACGTGACGTCTGTCGCAACAGGCACTGTTCGGTGGTTATTAATTAAAAACCCTTAAACCGCGAAATAAAATGACCCATTAAGGAATTTTCAGTCAAGTGAAATTATATGAGATACCATCCAGTAACTCAACAAGTTCAAATGCGATAAAACGGGCCTTCGCCTAAAATGATACAGATCTCGGTAGTGGTAATATTTCGAGATGCAACTGAAACAGAAGCAACCGGAAACGTGGAGGTAAAAAAGCAAATAGCATGCTAACGGAAGATTGAATTCTAAGAACAAAGTGAACTACAGGAAGTCAAGTTCCCTCACGACTTACTCTTTATGTTGGAGCTTTTTTTACTTCGTTTATTCCTAAAAGTGAAAAATTCTTTCCTGTGGCTTTCAGCTCCAGCTTTCAGCTGGCTTCTCAGTCAGGCTATTTCAGAGCTCTTACAAAATCAGCCTTCAAGCGCAACTCATTTTTTTTTTAACCCCGCGTGTTACATTTTAGTGATATTTGCTAGGTGCATCATCGCGTAAGTCTTGCAGATGAAGGGTAGAGAATGCCACATGTCTTCGTTCAATTCTGCTTGGTAAACATGGAAGTGATGACTTTGACAAAAAAGGCATTATTAGCTGGAGTAAATTAAAAGTCTCCCTACGATAACAGATATTTCTTTACACCCGGGGTTCTTAAGGTATGTGTTTAAATCGGAAAAGGTAAACAGGAAGATGAAAGGAATCTGGGTTGGGTTTTTCACGTACATTAACATATTGTTTAGATGACATTCGCGCAGAAAGGTCACAGATGAATTTCTGAGAGTCAAGTTATTGAATCTGTGGAGGAACGTGGGAAACCTGAATATATACAACCTCTTTTCAACGAAAATTTGGCGAAAAATGACCACTGAATTTCTCTAGTTATGAAATGAGTGTAACAGTCAACCTGGTGAAAATGAAATTGCCAGCCGTATTTCAACTGGTCAGCATGAGATGTTATCTTCATTTCCTGTGCACTTCATGACAAGTCCACTGATTGGTCCTCGGCGACAGAGTAGGTTGGGCATTCAGTTAACATATTAGTTCCTGTGATACGATTTTGATTTCATTCATTGCTTACCTTCTTTAGTGGTTGCTGTACCAAAGAATTTATTAACGTCATTTGTTTATTACACAGAGGCAAGAAATATAATGGATTCATCCATGTGCAATAATTGTCTAACGTTGTCCCAAAAATCTTGGTTGTATGTCTTCGTAGTAGCCAAGCTAACCTTAACTTCAGGTGAGTAAACACGTTTAAAAATTTACTACGAAAATTACTACAACTTCCACGTGTAGCGACGAACTGTTCTCGGTGGAGTAACGATTTCTTCAAATTTCGTATAGAAATCTAACAAAACTTTCAACAAAATATATTGGTTTTAAAACATCTGTTAAGTTGATACTTCTTTGACAACAAGAACTGTTGCAATTTTCTCGAGTTTGGTTGGCTATTCAGTCAAGCCTGTTTCCGTCCGATAAATTGTATCGTGAAATTGACAAGGGTTTCTCTTAGTGAAAGTGCAAGTGAAAGCTATTCCACTCAGGAATTTTTGTTTCTCGATCGTACGATTCTCTCCGGAGGAAACCTTTCGTGTTTTGAGAAGCTTGTAACATCTAACATTACGCTTGAAAGTGTTTGAGATTGATTGATTGATCGAAATCAATAGCATTTCTGAAGAACTTTTAGTTGTATTATTTTGTAGATAGATCTTTCACAGGGAATAATTATTTGTCTCTTCCTTGCGCCTCTGAGTAGAGCAGGCCAAGTTTCCTGCGGCCGGCCTTGATCATTTTTGAAGGACGCTGGAGTGTAGGAAATACCGCGAAAATGTGCGATGTAAACGCGATCACTGAGATTTATTACAGTGTTTCGTGATCTTAAATGTGGCAACGAAATTGTACCGATAACGTGGGCCGACTCGCACTAATTTTCACAAACTGAGAAATTGTGCTTACGAAATCACTTTTGATTTACACTAACAATGCAAGTCGCAAAATGCGCGGAATTTGCCACCTTTAGTTGAAATTTATTTATTTATGTACAAAACAGTTGCTCTGGCGTTTGTTTTGTGGTTCTTAAAACACCTTCATTGAAAGATATCCCAGCCGTTTCAAATAAATGCTTTGGGCATTGCATCCTCCTTACATATCAAGACCAAAAGGTATCTAATTTTCTACTCTCGAAAGATCTAAGAGTACTCTTTAAGTCAGATCGGCTTCACTATGTAAACAATCATGTTGGCCACCGCTTCGAAATTAATTTTTGTAGCAAGTAATATTTGTTCCTCCCTTGCAACCACCAAAGTTAATTTACATACGGCTGGCGTGCCCTCTTCCGTTCAGTAGTAACTTTTTATATGTTAAAAGTTCACCAAAGTCCTCGACTCCTCAAGACACAGTTACTCCCAAATATGGTTAAATTGCAGAATACCCTGCCACTCATTTACATGTCATTGAATGAGAATAGCGTCTATTGTGTTAGCCTCACGACACATGTAACTGAGGTGTTACTCCCAAAATAGTTTCTTTCTTTGCAATGTATGTACTTGTTAAATATTGTGGTGATTTCTTCCTCTAATTCCCATCATGCTGCTGTTGTAGAGCATACTAACCTGAGCATGCTTGCCCAACCTAAGTTAGGTTACCAAAATTCTTTGTGATATTAATTTTAAAGGGCACCAAATTTGGAAAAATATCACCAGTCATGACAAACAAACAAACAACTCTAGATAGTAGCTTTGTGATAATTAATTTTATGATGCCTGGACTCTATCGCAATTTTTAATTGACCATCCTTTACTATTGTTTGAATTAAAATATTCTTATTACCAGCACCCTTTATTTATGTTATTCTCTTGTTTACATTTGTTCATACACTCTTCTTTCCTTGAGTATCATTCTCAAATATATATATTGGCCATGTTTAAGAGTTAATATACTAATTGTTAATTATAATATTTTAATTCAATCACTTTAGTTCAGGCCTCTGCAATACAACTCCAAGAGCAATCATGTAAACCAAGACCAGTAGTGTTGGGTGACCAGACTGAAGGTTACAAACCATACCATGTGTTGCTGTACCGCTGCTCAGGAACTTGTGATGACATCAACCCAGTACGTAAACCCTGCATACCATCAACCACAAGAGAAATTGACATTAAAGTGCATGATCCCTCCAATGGAAAAGATAAGATCATTAAGGTTCTAAATCACACAAGTTGTGATTGTGAATGCAACCTTGACTGTGATTTGGATAATGGCCAAGTTCCAGATGGAGATCAATGTATCTGCAAATCTGGACCGTTGCCATCTGGGGGGAAACCTGATACAGGTAGGTAATGACTGTATAAGATAATGAAAGTAGGAATAAATGAAGTTTTTCCCTCAATCAAGATGATAACAAAATTCTTGAATATGATTGGCTAACACAAGCCCGATTTGAGCACTTACAGGCAGTGTACACATCCTGCTTGTTATTGGACAGTGTAATAGGACAGTTAAAGGACAGTTAACACATCATGCCTGTGTAAGTTGAAAGAATGCATCTTGTGTGCGCTTTTGACTCACATTTTGCTGAGTTAACTGTTGTTTGTTTGTTTATGAAAAAAACGAAAAACTGATGTCTAGTTTCTTTTTCAAAATTTGCCATAGTTTTGATTTATTGGTAATGGACTTTGTGTCATCCAATTCTGTCTGTAATCATACTTGTGATTAACAAATCAGACTCCTGCTTTGCAGTTGTCCAATTTTGTTAATAACTTGTATGATTACCAATTGAATTGGAACACACAAAGTACTATGACCATTATTAACTTGTGAACCTCTGCTGACAAAAACCCAGGTACAATTGGTTTAATAATTATTTTAACTTTGTTTTTAATAGAGGATATTCTGCCGTACAAGATTGGATTGTATGTGATGAGTGTTGTGGCATTTTGTGCTTTGGTTTTTGGAATGATCATGTATGCTAAGAGAAAAAATTCCTGAAGAGGGTTAAGCAACCTTGCTGCATGGGGAAGGGACATGAAGGTTCGTAGTCTATTCAACAAACATTAAACAACAACATGTATTTAGGTCACAAAATATACACAATAGAAACACAATTTTCTATCATAGTTATGAAGAATATCAATGGGTGTCTCAATCAGTGTCAAACATTTGTAGCTCTAGTACTGCTTTATGAATAGTATTTAGGATCATGAGCAGTTTCATCATTTGTTTCAAGTTTTTGATACAGAACATGTATATCAAGTGCAAAATTATTAGTAAGGGAGGAAATTAAGATAAATCTCTGTTGTTGAATATTCCCTTAGACAGTCACATGAATTTGGTTCTTTCCATTTGACTTTCCAGTAACAACTCTGTAATGATTTGTGTTATTTTTTTTATGCAGACGATGCTGTATGAAGACAGATTTGGATAAAATATAATGCATGGTGTACAGCATTAGAAGGCTTATCCTATGATTACTGGCAATGGTCATGGCAAACAATTTTAGGGATATTTAGGTATCTGTAAAGGTTAAACACCCATGATCACGAGTAGACATAATTGTTTAGTTTATGTACATACTAGGTTTATATATGATTTTGTTTACAGCCTAAGGCTAAATAGGTCAGTGAATGAAGAGAGTCATGTTTTTACACTTTGTAAATAGTTAACTTAACATATACTTGAGAATGAATACTTCTAGAACTCTTTGAGGTACACCTAATTGATTGAAACTGGCAAGTCTGACACCATACCACAAGTTTGAGGTATGAAAAATGAAAACTTTGATTTCTTCCAACAACCATTTTTTTGTTTCTAACAGTAAGTAAGAGTTCTAACTGCTTCAATTGAGACATTTGGGAGAAGTGTTCTCTTGAAGTTGCACAATATAATACAGAAAAAGAGGATCCCTATACTTTTAAGCAAAGTGTGATTGGCAATTTCTTTTCTTGTGAAACATGATTTCAATTTTTTTGGGCGGAATTGTGATTAAAGATGATAAGATCTTTTCATGTCCTCATGGGTAATTTTTTTTAAGAGTCCTGTAAATGAAGGGCTGAAATAAATTTATTTCGGAAACATTGTTTTTAGAAAACATTTGCATTGTTCTCCAATAGCTCTGGTTAAGTAATGACAAAATGTGGACTTCATACAGATCAAAGAAAGTCATAACACAGACCAATAATGGGTTTTGTGTAAATAGAATAAGTTATCATCATAAACTGAGTTTAAAATGAGAAAATTTTAAGTTGTAAGTTTGTGTTTTATTTTAGGTGAAACCTGATCGTTTCAAATTTTGCGTCCATGTGAAAAAATTTTGGATGTTGTGCGCAATGCTTGAAAAGGCCAAATATTTCCCTGGACTAAGTTTAACAAAGGGGTATAGGGAACCCTTAAGAGAAGTCCATATCTCCAGGAACCCTCAAGAAAAGTCCATATCTCCAGGTGCAGTGTCTGTAGTACTTAAATACATGTTAAACAATATTTGTTTTTCTTGCTGTAGAGATGTCTCCTCCAACAGTGGAACATCAAAGGGCCTATGGTTCACTGTACCAAACATTGATAATGCAAGGTCAATCAATATTTCAAATATCCTTAATGGATTTAAGGTTGTTCAAAAGAACATTTTAAAATTGAGAAATAGTTTGTTACATCAAGTAGCATTTAGTTATTGTATAGTGATATTTGTAGGCATTAATTAAGAATTAGAACACTTGCCAGGAAAAGGAAAGAGGTTAGCTGTAAGATCAGGAAATAACACAATTTGCACAACTGTGAAAATTCTGTCAGTGTTCACAGTTGTATATCATGTTCATTTGAGATTAATTGAAAAGAAACCATTACATTTTGAAGTCTAGAAATGTTAGAATATACAAATTTGCAATTTGTTGATTTCTAAATATGGATTTTTTTTTTATCCTTTCTGGTTCTGTGCTGTGCTTGATGACAGGTTTCAATTCCTTAATTATATTAATATTACATTGTACTTAACTTGTAAAATAAAGTGTGAATTAATCACTTATTTGACATATTCATTTCTTAACAACTATCCCAGCACTTCAAATAACAAAGCAACAATTTTAAGGTGGTCACTTAACTGAAAAATTGCATGGAAGATTCTTGAGACAAATGTGCCACAACTTTTCAACATGGCAACTTGAGGTGTTAACATGGAATACATTAGTCATTATCTACTGACTCTTCAAAGTAGAGGAATGAAATTGAAAAAAGGATATGAAACAAAAGAAAGTCAACAACACAGGATATTATGTGCAGTCACTCATCCAGGTAGCAACCCCACCAAACAGAGCTTAAGCTCAGTGAGAAGCACAAGTACGTGGCTAATATATCTGACAACAATGTCACTCAAGTGAGTTTTCAACATGATCTGCCACAGGCATCCCAGGAAATAAAATGTTATTGACTTGATGTGTTTAACATGTTTTCAGAAGAAAAAGGCTCCACAGGATGTCACATCATTCAATTCTCACCTCATTTAAACACACACCAAACTCAACACACAAATGTGTATCCTCAAATCATGAAATATAGTACACAAATGCAGTTTACAGTCATAAGTAAAGACAATTTAACAAGGTTCATTGGAATATAACTATTTTCATAAAGTTAAAGTTGAAGGAAATACATCCCTTTTTGTATCCAATCTTAAAAACTGATATTTCATGTGTTTGCACTTTAACTTAGCAATTTTTTGAAAAAGGTCCTGTCATCAATCATAGTTATGACAAAAGAAACAACTTGTTCATGGGTTAAGAATGTTATTTATTTAGAACCAGACCACCTAATAAAACTTTCCATTTACTTTCATGGTTAAAAAATGAATTATTGCACAATTGACTGGTAACAAAAAGTGGAATTATCCAACCATCCAATGTGACATTGAAACAACAAACCTAAAAACAGTCCTACATAAAAGGACAACATGACTAGAAACATGACTGCACCTCTTTGGTGACTTTTGAAGCACAGACACAATGATAAAACAAAAATGTTAATATCTTCTGGTCTGATAAATAAAATGTTATTGATATTAATATAAATGTTTCCTCTTGTTTCACTCTAAATTTGTACAGTCTCCAAGAGAACTAAATACAATTAATAGTTAGGGGGAATAATTTACGTAGAGAATACTAGGTATAAGTAACTATGAATTCAATCCAAAAAAGGAAATGTTCTCCAACTTATGTTGACTTAACCAAAACAAATTTGAAAAAAAATGAAAATTTGAAAAGTTATTTTTAATGATAATGTTCTTCCTATAGGAAGCCTCTTGAGTAATATTACTGCAGACACCAAACAGTGTTTGACCCTTAAGGTGACACTAGCACTTGTCAATACAACTTAAGTTAGTCTCCAACTCTAAAAGCATACAGACAGTGTGGATTCTAACAGAATAAGAAGTGTCATTTGACACAAAGTAATTAGTTATTTCACGTAAAATGAATGCAGCAGATTGAAAATAATACCATTTTTCATACATGAAGTCACTGTTCACAAGACTGTTAAGTCACACGTGGCACGATCTTGCTATCAAAAAAAAAATGTAAAATGCCAAGAGAACTACCTAATGATACTCATAATTTTTGTAGTTTCCTAATTTTATAACTCATTTTCAATGCCTTCTTTCTTTTTTGCTGTTGTAATCCATTTCAAAAATAAACAATAAATAGTCAATAACTTCCCAAAAAATCTCAGAGCTTCAACTTCACTTTAAGAAGTTACTAAATATACCGACTACTTCACTTTAGTTTGAAGAATTAAATGCAAATACAGTTTTACAGTTTTTATAGCCTGATCTGAAAGCTATACAAGTTAATTTTCTGCAAGAGATAGCTGAATGACTTGAGCCAGCTCTTCTTCTTCCTGTTTTCGAAGTCGTTCATCTTCCTCCAGCTGCTGTTCAGAAAGTGCCATAGCCAGCTGCAAGTCTTCATCATAGGCAATGACTCCATCTCCTTCTTGTCTTTGAACAGGAAGAACTTGTGGGGTTTCTCCCTCTTCAACACCACTTTCTCTCATACTTTCTCTTATTGCACTGTTTGAAAAATATTGCTTAATATCCAAATTATAAATCACACTATGCATTCACAAGCTTAGGAGGAAAATTAACTGAGGGTTCCAAGGTGTTACTAATACCTGCATCAGGAAGACTTAGTATCTGAGTATTAACACCATCATTCTCAAGGATAGAACAAAACAGTCCACACTTGCATCGGGAAGACTTAGTATCTGAGTATTAATACCATCATTCTCAAGGATAGAACAAAACAGTCCACACAATAATTGCTAATGTTTAAATTATCATTCTAGTTAAGTAAATTACTGTATCTTCCAGGCACCTCAAGAATATAAATGTACTCAATACAACAGAACCCAGAGGAAGATGAGAGGCTTTACTAATAGGTTTTGTGGAATAGTGAACAAGAATTTTTTTAGACAGTGTAAGATGCATTTAATACCGTTGCAAGTCATCATCTTCTTGTTGCTGGCTGCCTTGTAAAGTCTGAAGAGTCACAATCTGTGCAGGATCTTGTTGATATTCAAGTAAGCTCTGTTGTATTACTAGTTGTAGCATCTCGTCTTCTTCATCTCTAAGAGGAGCTAATAGATCATAGAGAGAGAAACAGTTTTGTCAGTTTTTGAGTCATTACAATGATAAAACAATACATGCTCAAGCTTCCAGTGTTCTTAAACATTTTATTTTCAATTCCCATTTTTGAGGAAGATTAGATTTTAACTTTATTATGGAAGATGACTCTTTTGTCAGGCCCTTTTAAACACTTTATTTTAAATTTCATTATGTCATGACAATTGTTGCGGGAAGGTTAGCCAGGGACTTGTGATCCTTCCTTCTGTTCTCCAGTGTCATAATTTGTGGATTTAAGCTGTCTGCATGGGTAAAATGAAGTTGAAAAACTAATTTCTAGATCTACATTGTTCTTGGCATTATGGTTGCCAATCTGATGTGAAGAAAAAAGGGTGCAAGTTTCTAAAGAATAACAGTGGTGCTGCATCAGTGAGAGAGTATACCTAGGTAATTTAGTATTATCAACTAAGTTGATAACATAAATTAGCCACTGTAGAGTTTTAAAGCTGACATTTTGAGTGTTAGCCCTTTGTCATTCACTCTGATGAATGCCAAACACTTGAAATGTTAGCTTTGAGACTCTTTACAGTGGCCAATTTACATTATCAACTCAGTTGATGTGAAGAACACATGGTTTTGACCAGATACCAATGTAATAGATCCTTGATGTTTGCAAAAAGAAATGTAGCTCTTGGTTGATGTGTTTGTGAAAGCTTAAGAGTAAGTGGGCCAAAGCAATGTATAAATAGCTACATGATTACACAAAGGAGACAAAAGGAAGCTATGGAATAAAATGAATGTTAGCGGTCATGTTTAAATGGCCAAACAAAATTTTAAGTGGATTAGGTCTTCTGAAAAGTCAAAGTTAAGATATATTCCATTAATGGCTAGAGGCCAGCTAATGGTTCCTAGCCATGGACCTTGAAGAAGTTTAAGTAAGAAGAGCAATCAGTTGTTGGCTTGTTTGCTCAGTTGGTAAAGCACTGCACAGGTATCACAAAGGTCATGGGTTCAAATCCCGTACAGGCCTGAATTTTTTTTTCCCCAGGCCTTCTTTTCACTAATGCTTAAGTAGTGTTCATAACTGTGAAGATCACTTTCATACTTCTTTATCTGCAATTCAAACATATGACTTTCATGTATTCACAGCTGTCAAAATATTACGACAGTTAATTTGGTTCCTCCTCTGTACAGATGTATGAAAGCATGCACATCAACTGAATTTTTTCCCTGACATTATCCATTGACCAGCTTTCAGTTTTAAGACCTGCAAAATGCATGTTTTGCATTCTTCCAGCAAAAAGGTTACTCACCAACTGGTTGATCCAGATTAACCTCTCGGTAGTCTGCTGGAGCATCAAAACAAGTTGATTCTATGACACACCTTGCAGCCAGCCCATCTACAAGGGGCTGTTCCTCCCCCTCAGTAGAGGTGTGACTATCCTCTCCAGTTTCCTGTATATCAGCTCTGATTGCATGCACTCCTTCCACTAAACATTCTCCTCCCCCAATATTACCAAACGTTATTTTGGCATTTAGGACATGGAACAAAGGAATTTCTGAAAGAACCAAAACTTTACTGTCTCTGTCAGTAACATCAATTGATTGACTCCCAACTCTTGGTGGTTGACAATTACTGATTGTTGTAATTACTGATTGTTAAAAAAGGAAAATTAAAAACCAGCACTATCTCAAAGTCTTACCACATGGAGGCTTTCATTTACCAGGAGTAAAATTCCAGCTACTCATAAGTTAAAAATGTATGTAGCAAAGCAGACATTACCTATTTTTACCGGGAATCCTGCTGGTAGATGAAGTGCAATGAAGTCCCTAAGCTTAGCAAAATGAGTGTTGCTGATAGCCTGCATCAAGATGTATTAGTCCACAATAATCATAGTAAGCAATAAATTTACCTCATCGACCAAGTATAAGGATCATACAGGGAAAGTATTGGCTACAGGTTTTACAGTAATAACCATTTATCAAATGGTTTAATTCCCCAAATTTCCTTCCCATATAATTTGTTCACTTGTCAGACTCCTACGTGTATAACTTTAATGAGTTTCATTAAGCACATTTTGTACCTTGCACATCTAACCAGTTAATATATTAATTTCAAGTACAAGTTCAAGCCATATCATTTCCTCACTTTTTTACACCACAAAATATCACCAATAAGGTTTGTAGATGTACGTTAGGGTCTGAATTTCTGTTTTCATAATATTGTATCTCCATTATTTGTTTCTTTTACTATTCAAACCTACTCTTAGGGAGAGGGATGTTGTACACCAAACTAAGTTTGCAAAACATTGCATGTTGTAAAATTACAGTAATATAAAACTTTAAGTTAATAAAGAGATTTCAGGACTGGGCAGCTTTAAAGTTTAAAGGTCACTCTTTTTTTATATATACTGATACATCAAGGAGGGGGTCCATGTACTCACCAGTAATTTGACAATTGGAAGCACTTGTTCACGAAGAGACAACGGATGCTTGTCACACATTGAAATTGTAGCTTTAAATTTCTGCTTCTTCACTGTCATTTCTTTCAATTTTCCAATATCTGGTGATGTAAAAAGATACATATTAAGTCTACACAAAGAAATGCAGACTTTTTGCACCTCATTGGGTAGAAGAAATTTGTTGGAATTTAGTGAGGTTCCAGATACTAATAATGAAATAGGCCATTTTAAAGTGGTGTACTTAGCTGCCAAGCCTTTAATTTAGATTGAGTTTAAAGGTGACCTTGTTGTGACAGAGACCAGTATCTAGTTAGCACAATAACAGAGAAATTTACATTGGAAAACCAGCAATGTATATATCATAACAAGGTCACCCTTAGTGTCACTTCTGTTCCAAGGCTTGGCAACCAAGCACACTAAATGGACTATTGCAGTGAAGACTGGAGAACAGCAACCAATTTTGGTTAAACTTAGCAAGCATTTGAAGGTACATTCAAAAGGGTTGGTGCCCCCAGGTAACAAATTGAATCATGGACCATATAATTGAAATGTTGGCTAGGAAGAAAAAAGCTATTTGTAGGTAAAGGTAAAGAATCCAATCCCATCAATGTGTCAGCCAACACATCAGCCAACACACTACCAACAAATCACCAACAGACTACCAACACATTGGCCGACACACCACCAATGTTGGTTGATGCATTGGTAGGATCGGATTCCTTACCTTCTCCTATTTGTGTATGGTTGCAGTTAGTAATCTAGAAGGCAATTACAGTTGACACAGGGCTAGGTTAAATGGTGGTGTAACAGTTAAACCTAAGGGTTAAGAATGTTACAACTATCCAGAGAAGTTTACTCTAACAACACTGCTCAACAGATATGACTCCCAAAAGAAAACTAAATGGTAATAATTCCAATTTTTGGTTGACCTTTTTTATCAGAACTTCAAGGTAGCTTGTTCCATAAGAGTTTCTGAGATGGGGGGCAATTGGCCTCCAAAACATAGAGGCAAAAAATTCATTATCTTTTTCTGTCGATAAATTAAATCAATGTGGCAGAAAAAATAACTCCTAGGAGGTCCTGAGAAAGTCTGCCTGCACTGTTTCTGATCTAGGGTCGTGATGATTGATCTGCTCACAAACACTGATCAGTACACATGTTTTAAAATTATTTAAAGTCTTACCCCTTGTATTTGATTCTGGATTAGGATTAAAGTACTCCTCTAACCTCATTTTGTAAGGGTTAGAAGAAGTACGATCTAAGTCTGAAGCAACTTGGTCATCCTGTTGGGAAATAAACAAGTATGCAGCAGAATGAAATATGTCAAAATGCAACTTTCCCATAATTAAGCTTGGACAATACTGGCTGGAGGAGTCTAGTTTTGGAGGAATCATAATATCTAAGAGGGATTTAGGGGAATTTACACATACAAGTCCTTGTCAAGTGTGATCCTAACACCTGGTAAACTTGTGTATAATAGTGTTCCTACTCAATAATATTGGCTTGGCAGTGGCCTTACCATTCTATCTCCCAGTAATCATTTGTCATTGAAACATGTTCTCTCTTGAACTTTAGAAAGTGTGTAAAGGGATACAAGTTAGATGGGTCTAATTTGCAGAATACAACAGTCTTAATTATTTTTCTGACCCACAACACAGGCCAAATTTGTATTTAAATTAGTATAAAAGTGTACTCAAGAAATCTTTTACCTCCACATTATTTGATACATTCTCTTCTTCAATACCAAGGAGAGTTTGTAGACCATTTGCAGCAAATGTATCATTTGTATCTGTTAAAAAGACAAAAAAAGGGATAGTATGATTCAAATTTGTGTCTTTTCAAAAAAGCAATACTTAGGTCTTAAGTAGCCTATTTCTATAAGAAAATGCTTTCACTTAGCAAATTCAGAGATGTAGATGTCATATGAAATGATTTGGACTAAAAGAGTTATTATAAGTATTGATTTGAATTTAAATCAAGTTTGCCTGCAATTTATCTTCCTCTTGTATAATAAATATTTAAGGAGACTCAAGCAATTGCCTCTTTTAAGAATACGCTGTTTGATCTGTTTGTACAACCACATTTGATATCTTCATTGCTTCAATCAATGGTTCCATATAATCTAACCATTGGTCTCTTTCCTGAATCAAAAAGTTTTGATTGCTAAGCTACATCTTCTTGAAACATTCTTGATCACAGCTTTATGTGCCCCTGAATCAAAACTAATTCAGTGACCCCCACTTTCATTTGTTGAAATGCAAACTATAAATTAATCTATTTTTCATCTTTCTGAAAGTTACACAATCTACAAAGTAGGTTCAGAGCCGCCTTAATTGATATCCACATTTACTATAGGTTGCCTTGAACCCACATCACATATATTTTTGAAATTTAATGCAAAGATGAAACTACATTAGCTGATTGTAAATGACTGTGAAATTTGGGGTTCAAATTCACATTTGAGCCAAGGGTATATTATGCTAAAATTAAGGCAGCTTTTTGAAGTTATCTTTAAAGACACGAATGAAAAGTTGCAGTTATAATTATAGCCATCTTTCAAAGAATTTGTAGCTTAAAAATGGCTGAACCAATTTGAGCCATCTGAATTAGAACATCAAGTGTTAAAAATAGGTCAATCTTAGAATATTGATAGGCCAAATGTATTGGAAAATAGTGTAACATATGAATATGATTAAGGATCACCCATTGAAATTAAATTTATTTAAACTAAAAGAACTCAAAGATGAACTCACTTTGAGCCATCTGTTTATCCTCGGCATTCAAGTGCTCCACTCGTGTTTTAGTGAGAACCTCCACCCCACTTGCTGTATACACTTTGCACTCATATCCATTCACTACCTCTGTCTTGTCTCCACCCCACCCCCACATGGTCTTGTGCCTTGTGAATTTTAAAGAGAAGTTAATTTTATATGAACAAAGATTATGATTTTCTTTTAATCACTATGAAAGAGTGATTTTTCATAGGTGACAATATTTACAGTCCGAAGTTATTTGAAGTGTGATAAGCATTTGTAAAAAACAATTAACTACTTTCTTTTCCACTTTTACTAACATAGTTATTAAATTCTGTTTCTGGCAACCATCTTAAGGTTATGATTTAAGGTAACTCATTGGCAACTTTGAAAGGTCAGAGGTTCAAACCCAACGCAATCATTGTCAATGAAATGATATTCTGCAATTCAGTACAATTGTGTTGTGGGTGACTTATTTGGCATCAAATGGCAACTTTGAAAGGTCAGAGGTTGGGGCCCTAAGCAGTCACTATCAATGTAATGATATTGTGGGTGACTTATTCTAACACCAAATCTGCATCACAAGAAAAAAAGGAAGAGAGAAAACACATGAAATATCACATTTATTACGACTCTTTTATCAAACTGTCGATTCAGCTAATTCCTTCTAGTTAACTTATTAAAAGTAATTAACTTTGAAGTGAACTAAATCCTGCAGAAATGTAAAAGTTACTTGTTAAAAATGGGTAACAGATGACCCTAAAACCAAATACTACCAGTTAATTGGTTAAGGGGGAGTTTAATACAGGCTGTCTCATGCAAGAACACTTTTGCAAACAAATGGCAACTGTGATTTTTCCTGGTGGAACGAGTACAGCAGGGGTTCTATGCAAAAATTTTGTGGTGTTAACACAGTCTTAAAGGAGTCGTGGGAGAGCATGAGAGCAGACAGATTCCTCAATAGGGCAGATCAATTAGGGAGGATCTTTGTGAGGATAATTTTGCATGAGATATGCACTGTACTGTGGAATATACCATTAATCAGAATTTAAGCGGCCAACAATTCTGTCTCAAGAACTTATTCATTTTTTGGGAGGGTAGGGTTTAATAACTGTCAAGTTTACTTTGCAACCTTAGACTTGACCAACAGAATAAAAAGTTATATTCTGCCCAGTATATTCACAAAGTCATCATAGTGTCACTTTAATTTTTCTTTAATTTATAAGCATGGAAAGAAGCTTTCTCCCTTCAGCTTTTAAGAGAAAATTCCACAACTTGTCTTGTATTCAAACTGCAGGGCTAAGAAAACTAATATTTAAATGTATAACTGATAAAGGAATAACCAATAATTGCATCATAGCCCACCATCAAGAAAGTGTTCTAATTTAACATTACCTTGTAAATGCAATATTATCTGTGTTAAGCATGGTAGCAACAGCTGGTGTTGTTAATCTCGCGTTGATAACATCTTCTGAAGGTTTAAGCCCCTCCAGGTCACGAAAATCTTCCCTACAAAAAGAAAGAAAGACAATGACGACCATAGTTTTCAAAATAATCCTGACTATAGATGCATGTACAGTTGATGTATAATTTTCTTTTAATTGAACATGACTGGCCTGCTCAGACTAGCAATAGCTTTCCATGGGCAAAACAAACTATGGTACTCTAAATTTAACAAAATAATATAAAGAATACACAGTGTAGTTGAGACGTATTGGACTAATTAGTCTCAAAAAGTGAGTCATCAATTTTAAGCTTCACTGGCAGTTACAGTGTGTAGAATATTAGCTTGCAGTAAATGAATCTGGCTTGTAATTGGAGACTATTAGTCCAAGATTCTTAGAAGAACGATTGCAAGATATAAAATGCTACCTCGCATTAGAAGACTTCACTTATAAACTTCAATACTATCATGAGTTATGTTTAGATGACCCAACATACCTAATATGCAAAGTTTCTTTGAAGTATCTCTTTTTTTCATGATCAATCTCTAAAAATTCTCCTCCTTCCGCTAAAAATGTATTAATGAATCACAATATCATCAGTTGCCCCACATGACATGAAATGTGTATATCACATGTAAAAAATTAAGTTTAATTAGTGAATAATATAAGATCTAGTCTAACCAGTCAAAATCTACCAGGATATCTAGTCATCACAAATCAGTTTTGCCTAATGATACTTCCAAAATATACAGACTTTTTTTCACTGATTAGAATGACTCCCTTTTAAATTAAAATATTTGCAAAATGTATCCACACTACCCTTTAAGACCTTGTTAATAGATTTATTTGTAGTAAGTGTATGTGAGCCTTTGTATCCAAGGGCATGAGGAAGAGTGACTGACATCCACAGGACAACACATATTAACTAATAAAAAACTGCATCTTATACGTCAAAGACAATGCCCAAAGAGAAATTTTCTATCTAATAACCAACATGTTGAGACAGACTTATAAAAAAACAGTGGTTTCTAAACTCATTTACTGACCCAATATACATTCATAAAGCATTCCATAAATCAGTTATCATAAATGATCACATCATTTACCTCCGCCCTTAAAAACATAACTCCTATTACCCCTCTGCCAGTCATTCTGGTCAAAGCCAATTAACGTGGTGTCAGCTCGAACATTTGCTCCTACAACCACAATCAAACAAAAAATTGACCACGCTGATAGGTAAATGTGTATTGCGTTATTAGGTGTGTCCACGACCCAAAACAATGCAGGTCATATAAATGTATGAACCAAGTAGTTAATCTAGCTCCCCACCAAGTTGTGTGTCGGTCAACAGTGGAGCATTAGACAAGGTTGGAGGTTTGATTTCTTGTAGGGACTCAAATTGTTTCTTAGTCCAATGTGAAGGAAAAAAACAAATTAAAACAACTTTCTATAGTTGGTAGCCAAGTTCAAATTCACCACCTTTCTTTTTATGTTTGGTCAACTGGTTTTCTAGACAGCCCCTGTCTCTATGTTTTTAAGGTTTTCTTAAAATATCAATAAAGCCAACAGCTAAAGAAAGAGAGTATCATCTGAGACAAGAGGTGATTCTTGACATAAATGTACTGTAACTGCAAATTCTCCCAACTAGTTAACAAGAAAGGAAATTGCAAAAAAGATAGGGGAATAACAAATCAGATATTGAATGTTACTGACTGAGGTAAAAAAATAAAAAACAAATAATCAAAAACTGTTCCCCAAAGTGGAGGCGGTTGGTAGTGGATATTTACAAAGTGTGAAACTGCAAGGTAAATATCCACTGCTAGCCACCAACACTCCAATGAATAGCTGTATAGGTACACATGTATAATAAAACAGTGAGATAATGAAGCACAAAAAGCTGATTTTAACTCATCCATTCCTGCTACAATTACCATATTTTTGGGTGAAAATCCCACATGAGTTGCTTGGGGTGAATAGAAAAGGATACAGAGACACTGAGTTGTCAATTCAAGTGCACCTTCAACACTATCCACTGAGATATGGTGCATAGTTGTACTAATTTACCCAACACACAGTAAATATGAAGTTTCACATTTGAATCAAAATGCTCAGTATCAACAGCACACTGCACATAGTTAAACCAAAAGCTTTACTCACCACATTTGTATATTTTATATGTATCACTGGGACACATTCTGGACATAAACGGTACTGTCAAAAACAGAATGTTCAAATTTAGTATACAAATTAAGTGAACAATTGTCATCATAATATACCACGTGAATGAGAAAGTTGATCTGTGAAACCCCCGATGGGTTGAAGTGGGCCTGTCCGGAAAACACTATCTAACACTATCTAAACACTTACAGGGCAAAAACTTAAAGGAAAAAGAACATGAAAAAAAAAAGAAAAACAAGATGCGTTTTTCAATGAATTGTGAGTCTCTTGTTCTGATATCCAAAAAAAAAAACAAAGGAAAAGTGTTGATGTAAAAAAATCTTTTTCATTGAATTTTTGGAGTTTTCTTGTGTCTTCTTTTGGTTGAAATAAAATTTTGCTATTTTCAACACTTAGTGGTCATATAATAAAATGCTTATTGACTGCATTTGAGCAGGCTGGACAGAAAAATATCTGGCTCTCATTCAGGACACACAGGCCTTGCTGCAGTTTGTGCATAGGTTATGTCCTCAAGCCAAATATCTTCCTGGAGCTTAGTATCTCAATTAAAGTACTGCTAGAATGAAGAAGGGTCACTTTCATGCCATCAACTAAAAATTTCTGCAAAACGGTTCCTTAAATGACAAGTAATATCAAGGTTGAAGCTATGGCATCTATTTCTTATCTTCTATCAACTAAATCATTGCTTGAGAAGCAACTTAGTTCTCTCAGAGCAACTCAACAGAATCTGTATCTCAGACAGATAATTATTAAAAATCACACTGCATTTACATGTATTGGTATAGTGCAATTTTGCTGCAGAACACAGCTTTTTGACTGATAAGCATTCTAAATCAAAATAGCTTATTGTAACTGTGCATGAAAAAACAGCAATGAAGAAGTTTTTACCCCAGCTGGTGAACTCCCATTTCATTTCCACATAAAAATCTGGAGTCTGTAATGTCCAGGAGAGAAAAATAGATCCTAGTCAATACTGTGCACTACAAACCTCAATTCATAAGTCTACAATTAGACACTACTTGCATATTCTTCCTCTGTTATCAAGGTCTGTTTTCAAGTAATGTGGCCCATTGAGCAGGAGCCTATCCTGCAGCCTCTCCCCTCCCTCCCCCCCCCCCCCCATCCATTTCATCACACTTCCCTGACAGTTCACTGGTACCCAAGTATATTCCTGTGTGGAGAGAGACACTGTGAAAGTTGAGTTAAACTTAGAGTTAAGTGTCTTGCCAAATAATACAAAACAACAACCCTGTTAGCTCTTAAATCTAGACCTTTTGACCCCAACTGAAGCTGTGAAGGCTATGTAATTGACCCAAAAGGTGACATTTCTAGAAAATCTTTCATCCAAGGCATCTATCACTAAAGTAATTGATATTCCTGAGAGCATAATCATGTATCACACAATGAACATGCATTGGCAAATACACTACATGTAAATACAACTAGATCAAAGACCTCTCCATGGAAAGGTCTGGGACTAACACAGCAATAGCATTTTTACCAAATTTATGATAAGGTTAAAATATTTGAAGAAAAGAACCTGACTTACAGAATTGAGTTCTTCCAATAGTTCAGGAATTCCAGCGAGCCTTTGACTTCCTCTTTGAAAATCTCGGTGTTGAAGTACAAGTGATAAAATTTCAGGGTTTCCAGTGCTAATCGCTTCATGTGACACTAAAAAATATCAAATCATGCCCAGTCAAATCCATTTAAAACAATACTTGTCTAATGGTTTAGAATGTTCAACCAAGTGTATATGACAGAGTTCATTGTTATTTGTTTTTCTTCGCGTTTTAGCTCCTGAAAAATGAGAAATTTCATTTTCATTGAGGTGTAAATGCAACTCCTTCAAACTAAGTAAGAAATAAGAAATTTCCACAGTACCAAAGATAAAGTTCTTGTTTTAACATACTTGAAGTATAAGAAGAGGAAAAATTACACATTAAACAAAACTTTTTTCCCACAAAGGGTTGTCAAAATAAGCTGACAACCAGCATTTTTCACATTCTACTTATAAAAATGCACCTGCAATTCTGAACGTTTGTGGCTCAATTTTCAGCATGGAGGCATGACTGCATCCCCATATATCTACTTACTGTCTCAAATAAGTTCCTCAAAATATTTTTGACATTAGCAATCAGCTTGAGGATACTATGAAGACTTTGTAAAACAGACAAACAAGTGGCTATGCAAAACGATACATACTTTGCATTGTCATGAAAAACCTCCTTACAAAAATAGTTTTCCTCTTTTTTATTTCTATTTTATTGCTAAACCTACTGCTTCATAGCAGCCTTTTAACATGGCCTGTGTAGTGACAGATAGCCAGATAACATAGGAAGGGACACATACAATGTATTGTGGAAGGTGTAAACTGCAGATAACGGGTTAGGACAGGAGGACATAAATATTTCAAATCACAGCCCATGCCAGAATTAATATTTACTGTACTTGCAATTCAGCATCAAATTTGCCACATACTATATTCACATTATCTTTTAGATCTCGCTTTACTTATCTAAGTGGATTAAATCTTTGAAGATGGGGAAAACACATCTCTTACATAAAAACTAGCAATATTTTTACTACATACCATTCCACCCATCCTGATTAATAGCGTTTGCATCGCAGCCTCCGCGAAGAAGACACTTTACACAATCCACATAACCCAGACTAACCGCAAGATGAAGTGGAGTCCGTCCTCGAGGGTCCAGTAACTCTTTATTGTGCTACATGAAAACCACAAATGGTTGGTAAATCCGCTGGTTTTGCCGTGCGAACAAATGTTCACTTGTCTCGTGGTTAAAACCCGTTCCATGTGAAGCACCTACCTTGTTCAAAGCAAGTTCTTCTTCGAGTGACGAGGCATCTTTATGCCAGACGTGCCAGTGCAATGGATAGACTGAGAGTATTGAATCACGTGAAATTTTGGGGGAATATGCGGTCAAAATGTCCTTCCCACTAGCCGCCATCTTATACCATTTTCAAGCTGTTGTCATTTGCGTGTGCAGCCGCTGATCAAAGATCTCGTGTACATCTGTTTCCAGCCCATGACCATCGAATGACACACCCCTCCCCAGCCTCTTTTCATCAAGCCTTAATACACATCGTGTACCTTTTGTTGTTGTTCCGCCAGTTCTTTAGTCTGGTTAGGATCCAATATTTCATACAACTTAGGGCTATGACCAAATAAATCATATAAGTTGCAGGTATCGACCATTTCAAACTCAAGTTTGGCGAGTTGAAATAAAGCGAAAAATTAATTCTCCCCCGCTTCCTGAATGGCGTTATCCGCCCTTTATACAGCTGGGCCTTGAAGTTCAGGTTACATTGCCCTCAAACCTCCTTCCTGTACCTTTTACATTTTGCGAGATTAAACGGGGAAAACATCCACCTTTAGATAATAGCAAGATACCGTAATGATTCGATTTAGCACCCTCGTCTCAAAAAGCACCCCCTCTCGAGTTTGTTTTTGTCAATTAGCGCCCCTATTACCTAAGCACCCTCATTCTGGTAAACGCCCCTATTCTAGTTCAGTGATAGCACTGTTAGAGTACATTCCTACCAATATTACGCAAATATTCTTTCTATATTTGTTACTTCTACAGCTTCTGCTTTTGTTCCTTTTTAAATAAACATCAAAGATTTGTTTTGCACAGTCTGCTGTTTCGCAAAAAAGAAATGAGATACCAGTGAGATGTTTTAAAGTAGGGTTGGTTAGAGAACTGTTCACCACCTCATGTCATCGCTGATCGCAGCATTCTGTCAAGTACCGACAAAATACAGGCGCTCGTCCTCACCAAGCTTCTGGTCGAAACTTCACCAGATCCGCTTATCCAAAATTTAAATCTAACGTAATGCGTCGATCAATTTGAAGCTTCAACATCCCCCTCTTTACAGTTGAACACCTCCATATGAAGCACTTCTCTTCCACCGTAAAGACTCAGCACTTCCGCTTCAAATTCCCTACCTCAGCCAGTCAAGGTTCCAATTCCCCACTCCAGCCTCGTAAGGTTTAAATTCCTGACCCCCCAATCCTGGGCACGGACAACAGTTCAATGCCTATGGGAGGGGAGGAAGTTAACGCTTGAAATAAATCGGTGTATAAATGCTTCCTGTCAAGATTATGTCTGAAAAACTTCTAGATGGGGTGGAGTATATGATAACTATAATCATCAATCACACAGGCAGTTTCTAAATAATAATCATTCTTTTAATCATCATCACCTTTGAATTACACGCTATATTAATCTGTTATTAAGTACATTAATCATAATAATTTTCTTTATCATATGGTACACATTCACGAATAACATACTTTGAAAGGAAACTGAGTTACCCCTCACCCATACAAACGAGCCTATGCCGTACAAAAATTTGGACAACCATAATTTCCAAACCTTAACTATATTCCTTGCATGTTTCGTAGAGGCATTCTTGCAGAGCGAGCTCTCGATGTCAGTTCCTTAACATGATTTTTCAACAAATTGGAAAGGGAAAAAAAATGGGGGCTTCCGTGAACACATGAGAGAGGATGAGGGGCGGCGAGAGGAGGGGCAGGAAACTTTTTGCTTAGTGTGTAAAATCAAATATTAAGCGAAGCTTTTGTATTGATTATTCAATGCCTGCTCGTCTAAAAAAACCCTCATACCAGATGTAACGACCACAACACTACGCGTACAATTTCCTCTCCACGTTTAAAGCAAAACAACGAAAGCTCGCCACACCGGCGGAGAAACTGAAGTAAAATATGCGTTATGGCCATGGAAGCGGGCGAGATAGCTTGGAATTTCCCGAAGCGGGTTGAAGCCAGTTTATGACGGCCACAGGACAATTTCCCATTAAATGGGATGGCTCGATAATGAGATTTAAAATATTTCCAAGAGCAGTAGTGTCTGAAGTTTTCCTTTCCTTTTGGTCCAAATGATTTTTTTGGTATACCTTGGAATGACGCTGACCTGCTTCGAGAGAAAATTTCAAAACACTGACGAAAGACTACATAATTCTATGCTTTAAGCTACAAACCAACTAAATGTTTGACTTAAATATTTGTATGTACTTGTACGACCGAGTTCTACTGCGCCACCAATCAAAACTAAATGGATCACCATAAAAAAAACGAGTCAAACGAGAAAAAGTAAAGAGACTGACACACGACTGATAAATCGAACAAATGACTCAACTGAACTCCACAAAAAATAATGGCAGGGTAGAACTCAATCATAACTGGAGGATTTCAGCTGCACTACTTCGACTAAAAAAATAATTACTCCGTCGGAGAGAGGTTATTTCTCCGTCTCCCAGCAAAGAAAAGCTTGGATTTGTATTCCTAGAGATGCCACGGAGACCCTTTTTTTCTTGGAATCTCTTATTGTCATTTCCTTGGAACTAAGAGCCTCTAATCAACTGAAAACGTCGTGACAAGTTGTTTGGCAGCTTTAGCAATATCGTAAGCGCACTGTATGACCTGCTGGGTGAGAAATGCCATATCTACCGTGTTACCAGGCAATACAGCACTCTTGCATTCGACCTGCAGCCTAGCAGCGCTGCTCTTCATCAGCTGCAGCGAGACACGCATACTGTCCACGTCTGGGTCCTGAACAAAAGACAAACGGTCACTCTTGGTAATCATTGATTTAACGTTTCCTACCAAAGTAAACAGCTAAGCTCCTCTGCGCAAAAAACAAGCACAGGGAGTTTCCATATGTACAGCGTAAAACCAAATCATCTCTAAACTAAAATCAAATATGATACCTCTGGAAATAAGCTAGCCATGTCGTTAACGGCCGTGAAAATATTACTCGAGCAGGGAATAAAACTGCAATAGAAACATAAAGCTCATTAGTGAATTCTATGGGTTAGCATGACAAATAACATGAACTCGCATTCAGTCTCTACAATGATTGAATTGAACAATGCAGTAAAAAATGTAAGTAGAGTTTGGATATTCACCAACTGTGTCTCCCAGCCTGCGCTGATAGCAACAGTTCCTGAATTTTTTTGGTGATCTGTTCTGTGCACCGCACAACATCCTCTTGTGATGGCTGCGGTCTGGAATCTTTCGTGGCTTCGTTAACTAAATCATCTACAGCATGGATCAACTTCTCAGCCTCTCTATCCAGTTGTTCATCAAAGGGACTGTCCGCTGATTAAAAGAAAATGTTAGCATTCTTATCAGCACCAATCGAAAAATAAGGAAGACATTTCTCACTACTAAATATTTGATTGCTTCAAATCATGGTTTCATGGTATCTTTTTGACACTGGTAGCAGCTTTCTCAAGAGACAATTCATTTTTTAACTATGCCGCGACGATGCAAAAACAGCAGATGTTGGATTTTCTCATTTTACGACGGACAATCGGTTGGCTTGTCCTGGTACAGGCGTTTCGATGATTTTTAACATAAATATAACACGGGTCAACTCTAATGAATCGACAATTTGTTTCCTACAAATATATAAAATTCAAGATCTCTTCATTTCGCAAACTTTCTACGAATCTTTCGACGAAAAGTACATATGAATGTAAACATAAAAAAAACACTCACAGGAACTCATTCTTTCGTGTTCCCTCATCTCTTCAATATTGAGATATCTTCGTTCTCCGTCTGGGTCATCTGGCGATTCAGTTACATTATCGTAGGGATTGACTTTTTTAGTTTTGGTCATTTCCCCAGCCTGAGGCTGCCCTAGGGGAGTTTGCTGAGTAGTGCGGTTTAAGAGGGAGCCTGGGGAAGCATACGGTTCTATGTTTTCGATGTCCACGTGATCCTCTTCGTCGCTGGCGTCTGGGTAAGCCTGGTTAAATGAATAATAATAATAATAATAAGTCACACTCTTGACATCTGCCTGAAAAAGGCAAGCAAGAAAGCTTTTTTTGAGGCCTAGCAGTGTTCGTATTTTTCTTGTAAATTTGTTAACTTAGCACATATTAGTCAGTGATACTTACTGGCGGCGCAAACACATTGTCATCGCTGCCATTTAGTATTCCTAACTGACTTTTCAAGTTCTTGTTTTCGTCCTCCAACTTATGAACCTAAAAAACCAAGAAAATCGGAAAAATCAGTAAAAAGTGTAAAAATATGTATATAGAGAAAAAATGTGAACTGGCCACCGAACGAGTAAGTCCCAGTTAGGGGATCCAGAAGATACTGGTATCTTCTCCGAAATGTTCGGTATGTGCAGATCATGTAAGAAAAAGAGACTGAAGATAAACTCTAAACTACTCCGGCGATTTAATGCAACGTTTCGGCCTTCTTAAGGTACATCCAAATTAAAAATTTAAGATAAGTCCTATCCTATAGTGTGAGCCACACCCTCTCTCCATCCTTCTATTAACCGACTTTTTGAAGCTTCAGTGATGATTTACTCACCATTGCTTGGAGATTCTGAATTTCGTGACTCTGGTTCGCATTAACTTGCAAAAGCTGTTGTACACGAGCCTTGGGATGAAGCAAAAGAGGGCACTTCAGTCAAGCGCTACCAAATGGTAAACAAAACTACAAAACTACTCTCAGCTAATCCGGAACGCTTGCTTAACCCCTTATATTGACTAGCATCTAATTTCTCCTTACAGCATCATCACTGAATCACACATTAATGTCATGAGAATAAAGGAAATGATCACCAACTAAAGAAACTCTTGAATGTTAGACAAATTCTCCTTAACAGCACCATAGTTAATGTACAGAGAACAGTAAAAATGTTTAAAAATAAGCGCGTGAATGGAAATATATACAGGGGAGGGCGTGAAAAAATTAAAAACTAAAAAATACAATAGAAGTGTGAAAAGCTAAAGGTAATTGCCTTTGAATTATATGAATTGAATTCCGCGTTCGAAAAACACTAGAATCTTGGCATACCGCAAAAACTGTCGGCGTAGACAATAACTCTAAACCGTTACCAAGACAATATTCTATATTATTGTAATTTGATTTTGTTTTATTGTCCATTTTTTAGCTTTTCACACTTCTATTGTATTTTTTAGTTTTTAATTTTTTCACACACTCCCCTGTATATATTTCCATTCAAGCGCTTATTTTTTACATTCGTTAAAGGCTATAGTATAATAGCCGAAAGCTCATATCTTAAAACCTTTTTAACCAGAGAACGTTTTTGTTACCTTTTTTACTATGTCATATCCTGGTTACAGTTCAATTTTTAATGAATACTGATGTTAGGATGTAAAGGGTAAAGACGGCAATCTCATTAGGTGGGAGAGGGAAGCGAGAAAACCCATCTAACCAATGAAAGATACAGTAGGTTTTGTACGCCTCAATAACTTATGCCGTATTTTGGCGACGTAACAAATTTCCTTTGAATAGAAGGAAACATTGAAACATCAGTTCACCTGCACAGACAAACTCCAAACGGGAAAGACTGGAGCCAACAATCACGAGAATATTAAGGATGAGGATGAAAACAGCGATTTTGAAAACTTTTGGCGGGGCAATCATCTTCTTGTAAAGTCACTCCACATTAAAGGTGTTTCCCGAGTTATTTACGTATGTACTTGAAGAGACCCTTTACACTGAAGTACACCTACATTAGCCGTCGCCAAAGCACTTTCCACCGCTAGATAACGTTCCACAGGAACGGAGTCATCAGCCAAAAAGCTTGTAGTTGTTCCCTGCAAGCATAGAGAGAGTGATCTTAAGTCAACTAAATTTAAGTAATTTACAATTAGGTGTCAAATATAACATTTGGCAGCATCACCTTTTCTTTACAGCGCTCTACGGTTGGTTGACAAAACTCTCGCGCCCTCTAAACCCGGCCAGTGAGACAGAAAAACTCAAACTAATCCATCAAAAACTCGGTCACTCGCATTTTCCCTTTTAGTGACAGTAACATGTGCAATGTATACTTTGAGCTTTCAACGGCTCCCTCAAGGATTATTCTCTGTTCTACTTGGCCCTTGCGACTACTTCAGGTTTAGGTCTTGTACCCCAAAAGGGCTGACTGCACCAGAAACAATCTCGGTTGTGAAAGAATTGGCATGTATATTATTGATCTTCTCGTTGATTTTTGCAATTCGAGTAACTACAATTTTGAGGATAACATGTTTATTTTGCCGAGGTACTGGTGATAAAGATAAACACATCATGGCGGCATTTCTATAAAATATATCCACCTTTTCGATCTGCACTTTAGTAGTCATTGTTGAGGGGTTCTGAAATAAGTAACAGAAGCGTGTTAGAAAGAATAAAACTTTTTACCCGACTCCTCAGTTATTGAATTGCCATTAGAATATCATTTCCACAGCCTCAAGACACCGAAAAAAATATGAACAACCAAAAAACAAATAAACGAAATGAAAAAAAGCACAAGAAAATTTACACTGAGAGAGAATTGCACGTGATATAATTGAGTGTACTCTAAAAGTTTGATGGTTTGTCACGAGCAAGAAACTATCCATATCTTCCTCTGCGGCACTGATGTAATGAAAACAAGAAGACTGTCACCTCCGGTGTGGATTCCTTATCCGCTGGTTCCTCGTCTGAAGGTACTTCATCATATTCGTGATCATAGGCATCTTCTTCAATAGGGAAAATGTGTGATTCAACAAAACCTAACAAAGTACCAAAGGCTGGATAAATAAGAATATCGTGAGGAAGAAAATGGAATTAAAACAAAAAACAAAATATTAGACAAACAGTGCACGGTGGGGGTAGGGTGGTGAGGACGAGAATCTTCCCTCCCCTTCCCCCACCCCTCTCCTTATTTTTGACCGTTGACTCCCCCCTCGATACAAATTTCTTTCTCTTCCCAGGCTTCCGTTGCCATTAAAATCAAAGTTGACAAACACAATTTTTGTTAAGAAAATAATGAGCACTCTACTCGCCAAAATTACGCCTGCTCTGCAGGCTAGGCTCAAAGATCCCCCCAAACCACATGTCTAATGGGGTCGGAGTAGGTAGATTGCGGTATTTGGTAAGCTTGTTATCTTGCTCCCTCACCCACTGGGCTGAGCGCTGCACAAGCTACAATGGACGTGCTTGAACTCAGAGTTTACTCAGCCCTTAAAATTGTACACATTAGGGAAGTGACTTGAGGTTTATGAATTGATATCTTATAATATCACACTGGATAGGACTAAAGCGAAAAAACTTAGGGTGATGATATTGAAGTATATCATAATGAATTTAGGATCGTGTACAGTACCTTGAGTTAAGTCAGGATTGGAGTCTTGTTCTCTCCGTCTTGCGTCATTCAATATATCAATAATTAATGTTGCAAATTCTTTGGCGTTAAACAAAGCTAACTTCTGTCTTCCCTAAAAAACCACCCAATTGAATTAATAATCAGGATTGACATTCTCAATGTTTGAGCTTTGAGGGATTAAGTGATTTTCAGAAATTTGAAATGCTACCAATCTTAAAATGATACTGATAATAATGATAATAATAATAACAATGACGATAATGAAAGTTTAGGAGATCAGAAATTTATTGGAAAAACTCTTACATCAAAAGGCTTTTTGACTGAACCCCAAATCTAGATAGAGACAGGTTTGAGATGAAACAACAGTACACACTGTAAATAATCAGCTTTCCCAAATTTGTGCTAAAGGATTGGTAGGATAGTTGTTTAGGAGCATTTTACGTTTCCAAAATATTTACCACTTTACCTGGTTTCTTGTTGAAGAGAACGAAGGATTAACAGGAAGAAATGGTACTGTTGTGGTATCACGAACAAGAGCGCTGTGATTCTGTGTTGCTAGCCAAACTGAGGGAAAAAATTTGAAACAAGTTAAAGACTGTCAGGTATATCCAACACGTTCTAAGACCAATCCATTAATAGAGCTTGTAAAGGCCACCGGAAATGTTCAGCAGGAACTTTGACAGCAAGAAAAAGGTGGAGCCTTGAGTCCAAAGTTCCAGTTGCTTTTTAATTTCATTTTTCTGCATTATAGAACAAATGGATTACATTTTGCTCAACATATTTTGCTGGGTTGCACATGGACCTCACTCAAATCACTCTAGGGGATGGTATTGGAAAGAAATCTTCAAAAGGGGTGTGGTTCAATCTGTACCCTGTCGTGATACAGACAAAGCCAAACCCCATTTAAAGAATTCAAAACCATTTCAGACTAATCTGTCAAGTTTCAGCCATACCATAGAATGATGTTGAGATCATATATTTTCCAAATCTAACAACTAGAAAGTATGTTTTATGCTTATGAATCAAAAATGCTCCTCTACAATCATGAAATAGAATGACAACAAATAACAGGAATTGATCTACATACTCAAGAGAGATAAAGTTCAAATGTTTCCTCAAGTTCAGCACAAATTAAAACTTGTCTATTACAGCTTCAATACCTGCATCACACTCCCTTCTGTCTACTTCATCATACACATCAGATGCCAGTTCTTCAAAGAGATGATGACTTAACTAAGGATAAACCAAGTAAAAAAACACAACTTAAAGCAAGTTCCAGCGACCAAATCTATGCAGAAGTAACACTAAATTTTTAACCTCCCAAGATCTGATTAAGTCTCCCTTCAGCCTGCTGAAACAACTGAGTAAGAAAAAACCATGGGTACAAAACAACTATGAGTACGAAAAAACCAAGGGTACAAACAACCATGGGTACAAAACGACAGGTAACCCAACTTCTACATGCCTTGATAAGTTTGAGTATCCTCATAGCCTATTTGCTGAACAATGTCATGATATTTTATGCAGAAGGTCCATGTTAATCACTTCTAGGAGTTAAAGGGTTAAGACGCTTCATTATTATAACTGCTAAACTCTTGAATAACAATCAGCTAACAAAAAAAGACAAGTAACGTCAAATAAGATGGCTTTCTTCAGTTTATGGAAGTTACCACATGCTTTAATAAAATTTCATTTACTTACTGCTTGTAGCTTTAATTTTGCCTTCTGTGCATCATCTGACAAATCCAAGCGACTGTTGAAGTATCACAGATTAAAGAAGACTTTCAGATGCATTACATGTATATAAAATAGCATTTCATTGGTGTAAAAATGATCATTATGTAAATTTACCACACAACAGTATTGAAGGATGATAAATTTAATATTTTCCTCTTTGATACCTAAGGGACAAGATTGGTTAAACAAGATTTTGGATGTTGCATGGTTCAAAATCCTTGATTACCACATGAAAAATTATTTCTTAACCTAAACTATTCTATCTTAAAGATTAACACCACCTTTTCCTTTGCCCTAAGCAACTATTCTTTGGGGTGTAACATAATGTAGTATATTCCCAGGACCAAACTTAATTTCTCTCCCTGTAGAGGCCAATCACAGTGAGTCATCCATTCTTAGGAGAACCTCACTCCAAATTTAAGAAAAATCACAGCTATGTTCTGATGCAACAATTAGACATTAGATAAGCAGGTTTAAAACAAATTAAAGGAATCTGCCATATAATTTCCATAATCTCAATGTCAAAAGTGAAATTTCTGTTAGTTACTGTGTAAAAAGGCAAAATGTCAACTTTTGAATGTGATTTACTTGGCTCATATTATTAAAGCAGAACTGATTTAGTTATCGAGAGCCATAGACTGTGTTTCCAGCAGATCAAAATTACTAGAAAGAGCTACTTGAGAAAATTGAGCAAAGTGCAAGACCTGTCTGCCATGGTTGGTATAAGGTAGTGAACACCATTTTGATGATCTGAAATAAAACAAACACACATATGTGCAGCAAGATATGAATCAAATGTCTGTTGGTGTCATCACAACTTACCTACTCAACATACAGGACTGTCTAGACACAAACAACTTCACCTTAAGGTCACAACTTTAAGAGTATTTTGACTGTATCTATGGGATTACTTTGATTCTCTTTGCTCTTCTTAATTCAAAGGTGATCACACAAAAATCATTCATTTACCAGGTCTTCTGCCACATAAGTAATATGTGAGTCTGTCTGTAAGTTCAAACTGAACCTCTATGAGTCGATGTGCAATATTTGAATGACCAGCCTCCCTGGAAAAAACAAGAGCATAAAATATTTAACAAATTGCTTTCCAAATAATAATTTTTAGAGCATTCATTAGCATTCTTTAAGCAAGTCACTTAACTTTACAGTACTGAACACAATCACCATTTAAAAACACAGCACTAAAACAGGTAACAATAAATTTTCAGTTACATGTTAAGCTGAGAAAGTGAAGGAAGGCGGTCTATGATAGAATAACATAGTGGCCCTAGGGGAGTGGCAAAAGGCCAGGAAACTATGCAATGAAATCAGGATAAGCTGCAAAGATATGGGCCAAGTGATTCAGGTGCAACACACTACCAAAAATTACTCTTACATGGCATAATCCACAGGCGTCTTTCCATTTATGTCTGGCTTTGTGGGATCAGCACCATGCACAATAAGGAGTTCAACTTGTAAAGGTTGCCCAGCATTAGCTGCCACATGAAGCGGAGTATTACCTCTATCCTATTGGGTGAGCAATGACAACAAATATGACAAAAGAAGTAAAACCTGTCATCATATACACTTGTACTAAAATATAGTTTACTATGCCTGTTTAAAATATATGATGGGCCAAACTTACCCCATATAAGCCTGAACTGGCACTACACGGGCATGTCATTTCATTGGTTTTGGGGAAGCTGGAAGCATAGGTTTTTTAGTTACACTTAAAAAATTGATAGGTAGAAAGTCTGGAGCCATGGGAACAATTTGATATATAATTTGTGGAAAAACCATGCAATTTTAAATGTCACTGACTCAAAATATGCCACTATTTGTTGCTTTCACGATCATAATTTGCATCATTAAGTAACAGGCTTAGTATTTGCCTCTAACTATATCTTTTTCCCCCTTCTGTGAATTTTTTTTTGAAATTTCTTCCATTTAAAGGGGATAATTTGTACACCAAAGTTATCCCATAAAAAATTCAGGTCAAAGACCATCATACCTCTTTACCTGGTACATTGACTGAAAAAACAATACTGTTTTCTCAGAAAGCACACACACTTAATTGCCTGATTATGTGATTTTTATGCAGAGAACAGGACGGCAGTAAATACTGAGGAATCAACTTAACACAATGAAAAAAAGAAAGGGGTACCAAGCTCATTTTTGAGTAACCAAGAGAAACCAGCAGAACTTATCAAGCAATAATCTGCATTGGTTTGATATCATCCATCCATAAAAGAAATTATAAGTACAGTACATTAAAAAGATAATGATTCCCCTTCAACCACCTTAAATGAACTAAAGAAGGTAATAAAATACAACAGCTTCAAATTGGTAATTTGCTTGTTCATTTAGATATCACCATTTTTTTTAATAGTATTTTTGAAGTTCACTTACTGGATGAAAATAATTTGGGCGAGCACCTAGTGAGAGAAGTCTCAAACATGTCTCTAAATTTCCTGTCCTTACACTTGAATGAAGTTGCTGCAAAGCACAATAAGAAAAACATAAATTACTGCTTGAACCTCACACTGTGCCTCTACATACAGTAACATAATACAATTGTATACAGCACAGTTCTTTAACATAACAATTAAAATGAGAATTGAGAAAACTGAAGGATTATGCTTTATACTAACAGTTTCAATAAATAACTAATGGCCAACTTTAAAACTAAAAAAAGTGATGTACACTTAGCAACCCTTTACCCACAGATGCTGTTTGCACACTTCACCCATCAAAGAGACAGTCCCTTCACACAGGATTTTCATTAACTTTTGAAGTAGAAGGGCACTGCCTCATGAATAGGTGGGTACCCTGTAAAATTAAGGGCTGAAGGCCCAAACTTCTGGGGGCATGCTCCCCCAGGAAATTTTTAAAACGTAAGTCTCCCAGAAGCATATTTTCCTGCAATCTGGAAAAGAAATCTTGCTATGATGCATACTTATTCTAATTATGGTCAAAAAAGAATGATACTCTGGGAGAATTTGTTTATTTCACTATACAGCTACAGCTTCATCAAAACACTGCTGTTGTTCTCAGAGCCTCCTTTTTTCTTACAGTAACAAGCTAACTTAAACTTGTAAACTGATAAAGAGTGTAGCTGGCAAATTTTCAATGTCAGTACAAGCTGAAGCAGATTTTCACATTTGAAATTTTTGATATGTTTTTGAATGCATTTCTTGGCTTAACCTTGAAAGAAAATTAAATTAGAAAACAGTTTCTTTCAAGTTTCTTTCACCTGCTCCAAATATTTAAGCTTTGAAAGCCAACAAAATGTTGGCTTATTGAGATGCAGTTTACGCTAACTACTGTTACAAGCTAACTTAAACTTATAAACTGATACAGAATGAAACTGACAAATTTTCAGTGTCAGAACAGGCCAAAGCAAATTTTCACGTTTGAAATTTTTGATATGTTTTTGAATGCATTTCTTGGCTTAATCTTAAATGAAAATTAAATTGGAACAAAGTTTCTTTCAAGTTTCTTTCACTTGCTCAGAATATTTTTAAAGCTTTGAAAGCCAACAAAACATTGGCTTACTGAGACACACGAGTTAGCTGATGAGCATCTTTTACGGCTACATTCACCTCTTGTAGTTTATTTTATATCCTGAATTATATTTCAGAAAAATACAAAGTGTTTTATAAACAGTTTAAATAATGGAATGCACAGAAAGGATATGTGATTTTTTCAAAATATCATCTCACTGGCTGTAATCTAATTAAAACTGGAAAACATAAAGTTAATTTTCATTGCACTTGACCTTTCATATGCAAATGATGCTCCAAGGAATGTGTAAACAATATAAGGGTAAACATGCTCAAAACTAACTTTTTGACTTCTTGTATGCAAATGACAAAAAAGAATCCAGGACACCTTGAACACACTTGCCTTTAAATGTGTCACACGTGACATGCAAGAAAAATGTAATAGCTAATCAAGCACTTCAGGAAGAACACGATTGTTGCGCAGCACCTTCTCATCAAAGTAAATTTTATTTCCACGATCTGATGGCAAGTTATTGGTAAATTTGTGCTGGAAAATGGTTTTAAACTTACAGGGAAGAGTTAATATTTATTGAGGTTGATAATTTTTTCCTTGACAATTTTTTTTTTCAAATTTCGTACTTTGAGTAGCCGGGCACTCTGCTCAAAGTAGACAGGTGCCAGCACCTGGGACTTGGCTTCTAATAAAAACCCTGCTTCACACCTGTTGTGTTAAGTGACACAGTTCCTTACCATCATCAGCAAAAGGAGAGAACACTTATCATGACTTGCAAAATTTCAAATTAAATGAACATTTGAACCACAACATTAAGATGTTGAAAGGAGGCTATACTGCTTTCTGGATACACTGCAACTTACCTGGCTAAGGTCTGAGACAGTAATGGTATCATCATCTTTGCAAGGAAGACGAGGGACAAATGCAAGCCTCTGATATTTTGCTTTGATGAATGTGGACTTTGTTGGACTTAAAAATATGAAAACCACCATCAGTCAGAAACTGGCTATTTAAATGAAAAAATATAAACTACTGAACCACATTGTTACTCATTTCTTTGAGTTCTGTTTTCAAGGATTTCTGTTCTCAATTCAACTGTGTATCCAGAAATTCATCCTTGAGCATCACCTTCCTAATGGGAGATCCTTATGTAGTCAAGCTAACAGTTGCCTTAATAACCATCCAAACTCTACTTGAATGATTACAATTCCTTTGGGGGATAGAACAGTGCATTATTGATCAACCAGGGGGTAGTGAGGTAATTCTGCTAGCAGAAAATTTGTAAGAATATCTCCCACACCATACCACACTACAGTTAGGTTAAAAATGGAACACATCACCAAACATGTTTGGTCAACCCCCTGACCCCAAAGAGTGACTACCATCTCATTTAGGTATGATCACAAGCTGTAGAAGCTCTTGATTGTTACAAAAATACTCCTAGTCAGCACCTTGTGAAAGTTATGCAGAACATTGTAGGGCATACATGTATATATACTGATGTTAGGTTGAAGAGGGTTAAAAGAGGTTTACGCAACTGGCCTTGCAATCTGAACACCTCAATTAAATTTGCAGCTGTAGAACATTTTTAGTAATTAACATGTATACTGAAGCACATGCATGACATGGTTGACAACCAGAAGTGCAGCAATATGCTCCAATGAACCACAGCGAGGGGTCTCAATTGCCTAAAGCTAGGATAAGAACATTAAAATTGCTTCATTTCTTTCCAAAGTATTGGAGCTCTCCCATAACATTACTACAACCTAACTTGGGAGACCCAAAATGTTTTTTCAAAACCCTGTGTAAAGCAAGAAAATTCAGTACATACTGAACATGATCTTTTTGATTTGGTTTCCTTAATCCACTCTTCATCTGATTTGGATCCAAAAGTGAATGTTCCCAAATTGAGTTTGCCCCATTTGTCACAAGCTGTCGAACCATCTAAAGAGCAAAGTGGAAGTCAAAATAAAATAATAAGTCAAGATCATACTGAAATATGTACACCTGTCTACCATTAGGAGAGTGAGATTCCATCATAACTAAAGACTACACTGAAGATGTACAACATAAAATTCATTAAAGATCTTCAAGCTTTACCAGAACTTTCACGTTGGCCTAGTGATACTGTTTTCAGAAAAATTCCTTTCAATTTGAAGAGAAATCTTTATTATGTTAGTGCAGACAAACTTTATTCAGACAATCCCAATCAGCTTTACTCCCTTGAAATCCCATGAAACATTTAGTTAACAAGAAATACTCTATCATTAAGGTGGCATGGAGAACCTCATGCATAAACCTCTCCATGACCTATAATAAATTTAAAATCTATCTAGTTGAAGTAATGTAAGGTAAGGTAATGCCTTAGTTGTTTAATTCATTGGCTATGGATGACTCATCATACACTGTCTCATTTTCCTTCTCTAATTCCATGATTTTAGTCATTTGTTTGCCTAAGCCACTTGGGTTTTTTAGGGCATTCCAAATGCCCTTAGGATTTCCTTTATTTTCATCAATTTGCTCACAAAAAAGGGATCATTTTGATCTTTTGATGATATTGGCAGTTCTGCATTCAGTTTTGGAGTGTTGATTCCAATCTTCCTGCTTGTTTGTCTTTTGCGCTCGTCTTAGCAACTTGTGCCTTGTTTTTATGCTTTCATGAACTTCAGTTGTAATCCAGGCAGGTTGAATTCATCTTTTCACTTGCTTTGTTTTCAGTGGAATGTGGCAATTAATTTATTTAGCATTTTTTCCTATGAATCAAGAACCTCATTAATTAACACATTTCAATTCAAAGACAGTGTCACATGAGGGGTTGTCTAAATGAAGCAGTATATTATCTTTGTTTAAGTTTTTATAATCACAATATTCTATGAATTTATATGCTCCATCCCATTTATTCCTGGTGTATTTTCATCTGAAAAATACAGGAAGGTGATCTGACAAACCGATCTTTGGCACTGAAATATTAGCAATAAAAAACGAATGAGTTGTATATAAATGATCAATTTATATCAAGTTGTATATAAATGATCCAAGCATGTGGAACTCTTTAAACTATTCAATAAATCTCTTTCTTCTGGTGTGCTACCTGAATTATGAAAATAAGAATTGGTTATACCTATTCATAAGAAAGGTGATAAAGAACTTGCAGAAAACTACAGGCCTATTTCTTTGCTTTGTATTCTGTCCAAAGTGCTCAAAAGTTATATTTTCAATAGGTTAATCAACCGATGATTTTTTTCATATAACCATCGTACCTGAAAAAAAATTCTAAGAAATATAAGATTAGTTTTTCAAGGAAATTCTTGCCCAGAAATAAGAAAAACTTATTTTTGGGGGGGTCAACTTATACACAGGTTCGACTTATACATGGGTAAAAATGGTATATAACATTGACATTACAGAGTTTGTCCAACCTAAATCATAACCAGGTCCACTTGTCATAGCTGCTCTTTAGACTATCAGCCTTTAAAATGCAGAACATCACTATTTCAACCTAGTTATATTTCAATAGAACTGTTCAATTGTGGAATTCCATGTCTTCACCAGTAAGAACCTTACCTAGCGTTAATGCTTTCAAAGCAGCTTTAGTTAAATATTATAAAAAAGCACTTATTGAAACATTTGATCAGGATAATGTTTATACTTGGAAATCATTTTGTCTTAAGAGCTTTTCCATAATTTAGGAATTTAAGCAGTTTTCATCAGTATTGTTTTTAGTAGATATTAATAATAAGAATTGATATATATTTTTTACACATAAATTCTTGTAACATATACATATATTTTGATATTTTAGTGAATTATCAATTTTATTTGCATTTTTCTTAAATTCTCCCCTACCATTATTTTTATTGGGCTTTCACCTAGTTGGAGCTTGCTCTGTCATGACTGTCCCTCACTGAGTTTTTCTCTTCACTATTGTTATTTTCAGTTTTTTTTTTCTTCTTCTTTTTTTACAAACTTACGTTAACTGTTATCTAACTATTATTTATCATATTTATATGTTTGTGCTCAGTGAAAGTCAAATAAATAAAACTTTCATCGAAAGAAGAGCATTTTGTTGTATGTCATGGTTGTTCCTTTCAAAGAGCTGAAGACTAAGAATTAGTGGCAAGGAAAGTCGACACAAACTACTAAAGGTCGCTATTGCCACCATATCGACTACTCGCACACAAAGCAGCTAAACTGAGACTTTTGTCCATGGCAGTTCATATCGCTCCAACACAAGGTGTATTTGCACTCTACAATGGACTGTCAGCCTCTGTCATGAGACAGGTATAGAGACGAGATGTGGCCATGAAAATGGTTATTTAAATTTTTTAATTTTTGCACCACACTGGGAAGTTCATTTCATTTCTGGCTCCTGTGGCAACTCAGTCAATTACCTTAATAAGATGCATTATGGTGGTTTCTGGCAACTAAGTTTTAAATTAGTTAAACCTTTCCTTCTGTTTCTCAAAATATAGATATAATAGGATGGTTTAACTAATACTACAAGCAGGCAATAATTCTTGTTGCTCATACAATGCAATTAGCAAAATATATGCCCCTATATACCTTAAACCATATCAAAAGTTGTAAATACTGTTGTCCCTCAAAAGAAAAGAAAATAAGTTAATAAACTTAATTTCTCACGAAAATTTTGTAATGCTTTTAAATTTGACAGTTCAATTTTAGTCTATTGCTAAACATGTCCTATTTCTAGGAATGAAATCATTTATAGAGTTACTTCCTTGTTGAATTTTTGAACAAGTTTTAACTGTGTAATTTCAAGATGGTTACAGCCAATTCAAAGCCTCTTATTCAATTTTATTCTCATTAATTCACGAAAAATAAAGTTCTTATTAAATTGAAACAGTTTAAAAATGTCTCCTTGCATGTTCTGACAAAGTTTGAGGATCCTCTCTGATTTTCATTTTGCACAATAATATTATATGCAACACTTTCGGACAAGGGCTCTTGAATTTCTTAATTACCAAAATTAAATCTCAAGCATGTTCAGTTAAAATTCTTTTTTTTGAGCTCGATGAAGTCAAAGAAACGCTTGTTTTCTTGCAATTAAGTTTTCAAAAATTCCTAAATGCCAGCTGCAATAGTCAGCTCTGCTGAATGATTCACATGACGAACTGATTTTACATTGACAGTAGAAATATCACAAATTGGTTAGTAATCGAGGACAATTCACGCCAAAAATGTAACTTTTAATTTAAAAAAAATTATTAAACATCATTATACACAAGTTTCGCCAAAATCTTGGACCTTGCTCTCATTGGGAATAAAGAAGTGTCATTTGAAAAAGACAATGACCTCTTCAAAAGACACGATCGAATGAGACCTCACTAACTGTAAAGGATGCAATCGGTGTAATCTTGCCTTTACAAAGATCAACAAAACACAACTTCACAACAAACTTAAATTTTTTTCCTATGCTTTTTAATACAACGCACATACATTTTAGATTATCTTTTAGATTGTAGGTTCAATCGGAAGTTACTTCAATTGATGGGCGCACAACAGAGCGAATGATCAGAAAAAATACAAATTTGTAATCGATCACACTTGTTGGATCATGAAAAAAAATTGCTCTTAAACAAAAAAGAAGCCGCTGTTGACACTAAAAACACAGCATATGAAAATAGTTACTTCTACTACGATGTTAGTATAATGAATTTCGTACGAACCGCTAGTAAAGTTGGACTCCAGGAAGAATGTCTCAGATGCTTCACTTGGGAAATATGACGACCCAAACTGCGGTGAACACTGCAGCATTCGTCGCAGATAAACACGCCGCGATTCACAGATGCCCATTCTGGTCCTATTTTTTAAAAATTTCAAATCAATCTAACATCCCCGAGATCAAGAATGAAATCTTCAAACATCAAAACTAGGCGTTAAATCAAGTGAGTAATTCGCATGCTACTATTCATGCGTAAGACAGCAAGGCACAAACCTACCGGGCGCGCTACAATCGGCACAGATCTCTGTCGAAGGGCGTAGCTTCATCCTTGAAGACATATTTTAAGCCATAAAGATACTAAAAGTCTAGGCACACATGCCCCAATAAGACATGGCGAAGCATGCAACAACAACAGTGCTTTACCCACTTCCCTCTTTACTTCACACTTCGCACACCTGTGGTCAGCGTTCATACGGGTGAGTCATGCGCCCAAAATATCAGCTTGGTTTGATGAAAGTCCGGTTTCACGCGATTGATTTCGAAAAGAGCCGAGGAATTTCCGACGACACGCATCCGGTATTTGGTGGCCGGGCGTTGTCGCGAAGTCCGGAAATAATTGTCACGGAAGAACTGATAGTGTCGATCGACATCAATACTCAGCCCGCACATAGGTTTGATTACATTTAATCTCTTTCAGGGCTCACAACCACAAAAATACATCGTGACATGATGAAAAAAATGTAAGATTTAAATGATGTGGGAGCGATTTTTCTAACCACTAAAAACTTTGTTAAAGTAATTAAACTTAATTGTGAGCTAAAGGACGAAAAAAGGGCGAATTACTGCAAGCATCGATACAGTGTATCATGAGCCCAAGTTCCCCCTTCTAGAGGAATTTTGTGGGGTAGGTGGCAATTTTTGTTCCCTCTGCTCGAGGTAGCTCTGCAGGATTTTTTGACCGCGCGAGATCTGGACCCGAACATGGCGCGAGCTTTAAAAATGTCGCCGAGCAAACCAAATACAGCGGCTCGATACGATCGCACGATTCGTATCTAAAGAGGCGTGTAAAAAATATCTATATCCACATTATGGACTCTGGGAATTCCAGTAAAGACAGCCAATGTATTTTTAGACCATTTACGCCTGAAAGAGGCCGACACAACACCCGCGGCGTGTTCGGTCGCTTAGAGAAGACCTCAAAAATAAAGAAAAGAACGGAAGAATCATTAAGTAAACGCTGTGGCTATATGGCCAGTAACCGGTCAAGGTGTTGAAAACACTAAATGGCCGGCAGTCCTACATTCTCAGTAAATTTCACAAAATCGAAAAATTCCAGCAAGTCTAAACTATCATATGTCGATTTAGAAAGTTCAAGCGATCTTAAAATGCTTTATGGATCTCAAGTCTAGTGTTTGGTTTACGCTGGGCTCAGAAGACGAAACCATGTTTTGTGACACTTAGAACTTTTTTCAGCTCGACTGCTGCTCAAGGTTTTCAAAACTCTAAATGGCCGGCGGCCCTATATTCTCAGTAAATTTCACAAAATCGACAAATTTCATTTTTCCAGCATTTTCAAGATCTCGGTCACAATTTTTCACTATATGGACCATCCTCGGAGACCCAGGGGCTGTGGGTCGATTTCAAGTCCGGGCGGAAGAGCTCTTCCCTGGGTCTCCGAGGATGTATATGGACCGACCCTTAGCCGGTAAATAACATATTTAATGTTTTAAAAAACTTATCGAAATTCTTTCCATGAACTGAACCATTTTTGAGCGAGTAAATGGTGGTTAAAGTAGAGGTGTGGCAAATTAAAGAGAGATGCTTCACCGAAACAATTTCCATTTTCGTGATTATAAAGGTGATTTAAAGGGCTTCCAAACAAACCTTGAAACATTATTTTACAAGTATCTGTCACAATCTGACACCTGTCAATTGGAGAGTGCGTAAGAAAAAAAAAGCGCGTATACACTTTTGAAAAACAACGAAACTAGTTTGGCAAGGACTGTCACGACAATGTTTTCTTCAAAAACAGTCAATGATCATATGGAAAATATTATTCACTCTCATCGACGATTAATTCATTTACGAAGAGCCTCTGTTCATTAAGTAAACGGCGAAGAAAGCAATTCTAAGTAAATTCAAATTTTTTATTTTGAAGTTGTGAGTTTGCTTGTTTGTTTGCTGCAATGTCGTGTGTAAATCTGGTCTTTCCTCCACAAAAACCAAATTCGAATGATACACTCCAACGAGACAAGGGGATTTAATGCAAGCAACTGAAAGTGGTGCTGAAATAAATAAAAAAAATTGGTGTCAGTTTCGTGTTCGTATGATATGGGATGACAAAAACTGGGGCGTGGCTATAATTCAACGATTGGCCATACAGCAGTTATAGGCCTTTCCACTGGAAAAGTGCTGGAGTATATTACAAAAAATAAACATTTCGCTGCTGTTCTGCTGCGAAACAAGCAGGAAAAACACCAAAACAGCACGACTGCAGAAAAACCCATACAGGTTTATCCAAGGCTATGGAGCCTATTGCTGCTCTGAAACTTTTTAACGATGCACCTAAATCAAATGTGAGATAATCCACATATTCAGGAGATGAAGATTCCACAACTGAACTGCATATTAAGCAAAACGTCCCTTATGGTGTAGAAAGGTAGAGCGACACCATCCACATTGAGAGGTCTTCTACAACACGCTTGAGTAATCTAAGTCAACGCAGCAAATTTCCAAACTATTCAATTTTGTCCCAAAAAGTCATTAACTATCTTGTAAAATGTTTTACATATTGTATTGTGCAGAATAAGGGAAATCACACCTGCATGAAAACTGCAGTGCAGAACATAATTCCATATGCTTTTGGCGAACATCATGGCCGTGATGATTCATGGTGTGCTTTTAAAACGGATTCCTCCAAGTACACCCATAAAGATCTGCCTCATGGGAAACCCGTCCATGAAAAACAACTTCGAAAACACAGTGATGTCAATTTCAGTGCTGACATCACTGTTTGGAGAACATAGCACAGACACTGTTATAGAGAAACTTATCCCTGTAGCTAATTCCCAAAGCAATGAATCTTTCAGTGGTGTAGTCGGGTACAAGAACCTAAAATTTCGCCACTATGGAGTAAGCGGAAGTAACGATTTTCAAGTGTCCTGTTGTGTCTCACCAAAAATATAGGTTACGAATAGATCTCAAGAACACTAGAGTGGCTAAGATTGAGCCGGAGATTTTTGTAAAGAACTCAACGAAAACATGGATAGGAAAAGTCACATGCACAAATGTAGAAAGTCAACTGTAGAATTTAAACGATGAAGATCACAGTTAAGCAAGCGAAAAATTTTCAGACGCAGCTAGAAAAGATGCCAAAGAGACAAGAACGTATGAAAGTAACGTTGGACTAAACTTGAATTTATCCGAGACATCAGGCGAAGTCAACATTACATTGTCAATTAATGTACTTTATGCTGTTCACATTACAAAAACAAAACAAGAAAAATATGAAAATGCAGTACAAAAATTCACACAGCGACCATGTACCAGAGAGGAAAAGTTCGACGATCATAAATTCTCTAATTTTGTTTTATTTGACACGGAAACAAATTCCACTGGAGAGCTAACAGAGCAGAACTTTGCCAGGTAGCTGCCGTAGATCACTCTGGCAAACAGTTTCGGTTCTGCATTCTTCCCAACAGAGACATCGATCCTCAAACGTCAAAAGTAAACCAGCTCATTGTGAAAACTGTTAACGGAAAGCGTACTCTATTCAAAGAGAGTCAAGCTCTAGCAACTTTACCTTTAAAAAGTGCACTAACTGATCTCTTAACATTTCTAAAGGAAAGCGCAACCGCATCTGCTTCGAACACATCAAAGCCCGTTTGCACAGTCCTTGCAGGTCACAATGCATTTTAATTTGACATTCCCATTCTCCTACGAAATTGTAATGACAGTTTTATCACTGAATTAAGCTCCATCAACGTCAGGTTTGCAGACACTGTAACATTTCTTAAGTCACTCATCTAGAGCAAACACTCCTCCTTAGAAAACGGTGAAGGTGAAGGTGAACCATCTTGACAGTCGTTATCGCCGACTCATGTCCTTTCGCGGCAAAATGTATTTACATTCGACGGAACTAAACTGTGAGCGGCAGTGACAAAGAATGTAAATATTTTTCTATTGGTATGTTAGCACGTGGGCCGCTATGACGTTAATTGAGTCTTTTGATGTATAGCGTATTTAAGGTTTGACATTTGTAATGTATTCATTTCAGCTCTCGAACTTTTCTAGTTTTACGTTAAATTTTATGTTGCATGTAATTAAGCTGTTTTACCTCTAACCCCCAGAGGTTGGTGCGCCAGCATTTGGATGGGGAATACGTTCCCATTTTTCTCATTGGGTTATGTGGGTTTTCGTATCAGGCGGCGACACAAAAACGTTTTAGCCCGAGAGGTGATGACTAGTGGTTTACTATTCTGTGTAACTTTGTCGGACGGCATTAAATACTCGGGCTCCTAGTTCGAGCTGCACACCCACTCTTGCGTATAAGTCGTGAATTTAAATAGGAACTTTAAAATAGTGGTGGTGACGGCCCTATAAAGCAGAATATGGCTGATAAAATTGCTGGAAGTGGGCTTGAATATGATGAATTGAGACATTTACACCTTCGTTTTGGCAGGAAAGGACTTATTTCTGTATTGACGAAACCGCCGTTGTCCACTTTCCGATCGGCTCCCTGAGTGACACGCACCATGAGAATTATATCTGCCATAGTGCACCATTTCGATGATTCTTGCCAGGATTCCTCGAAATGAATCGCTTAAAAGTATAAACCTTCTTATCTTGCACGGATTAACTATAGAATACAGGGCCACTGATGTCCAGTAGTGCTTGTGTTCGATGTCCAAGAATTGGGTGACGCTATATCGAAGGCGTTTCGTCGACGGTAAGAGTACACAGTAAATTTGGTCAGCGGGGAAATTATGAAACCCGTGAATATTGTGAAAGGATGAGCAGAGAGCCAGTTTGTTTGCGCATGTTTTATAAATTTTTGTTTGATGTGAGAGACCGTTGGTACACACCTGCGTCGAGTGACAATCGGATGGTCTGAGCAGACTCTTTTTTCATGCCAAGCAAGAAAGAACCTGATATTTAACAGTGAGGATGTAAAACAAAATTTTTCCAAAAGCCTTTTTTCCTGGGAGCAAGACTAAATGAGGTCAGATTAAACTAATGTGGAGAGTTTTGTTGATCTCTTTATGAAAATGGATGATTTACATCCATCAGATTTTAGAGAAATGAGATCTAAGTCAAAAGGGGACTTTGACATTGCATATTCTGCAGTAATGGGCACCGGCTTGGATGGCTATTTAAGGAAATTTATAATTTTGTAGTCAGGGGTTTGGCTGTGCAAATTTTAGGGCAGACAAATCATAAATCAGT